TGTGTTAAAATCTTTCAAACTATGTGCAATTTTTACCTATACGTGCATTTTTATTTTACTCGTGTGTATTTTTCATCTAGCTCGTGTATAAAATCTTGATCGTTGTGCAGAAAATAATTTTGAACCAATCGGCGTGCCATAAAGGGGAGCCAGTCAAAGCGTTCCCAATTAAAACCGTCCCGGTCAAAGCGTTCCCTGATTTTGGTCAAAGCGTACCATGATTTTGGTCAAAATGTCCCCAAATTTTGGTCAAAGCGCCCCCTGACATATTTTATAGAAATATGATAGTACAAAACCGCCCGCTAATTTTGGTCAATGCGCGCCCTGATTTTGGTCAAAACGTACCATGATTTTGGTCAAAATGTCCCCAAATTTTGGTCAAAGCGCCCCCTGACATATTTTATAGAAATATGATACTACAAAACCGCCCCCTAATTTTGGTCAATGCGCCCCCTGATTTTGGTCAAAGCGCCCCCTGACATATTTTTATAGAAAAACGAAGTTTCCAAAGCGCCCCCAAATATTGGTCAAAGCGCCCCCTGATGTTGGTCAAAGCGCCCCCTGACATATTTTGACAGAAAAAACGAAGTTTCCAAAGCGCCCCCAAATATTGGTCAAAGCGCCCCCTAATTTTGGTCAAAGCGCCCCCTGACATATTTTTATAGAAAACGAAGTTTCCAAATTGCCCCCAAATATTGGTCAATGCGTCCCCAAATTTTGGTCAAAGCGCCCCCTGACATATTTTTTAAAAGAAAAACAACGTTTGAGGTTTGGTCAAAGCGCCCCCAAGTACTGGTCAAAGCGCCCCCTGACATATTTTTATAGAAAAACAAAGTTTCCAAAGCGCCCCCAAATATTGGTCAAAGCACCCCCTGATTTTGGTCAAAGCGCGCCCCCAAATATTGGTCGATGCGTCCCCAAATTTTGGTCAAAGCTACACTACAAGTGTATAAATATAAGGATAAATCTATAAACACGATGGATACGATCAAGGAAAAATTTCTAATCAAGCTCATAAAAGTGGGTAACACTAAAATACGCCTGCCGACGCCTGCCAGGGGAAAATACGCCCGCCGAGAAAATGTATAGATTACGCCTGCCGTGTTATTAATGGAGTTAATTGAGTTTTTGTTAGATATATTACCTTTTTAGACCCTGTAGTTAATTTTTTAGGAAACAACAATAATATTAAAAGCACAGAATTGGGTTTTTAATCGTTTTAAAGTTTGCATACGGCGTGGAGCATGCCTGACGAAAAATCTAACGCCTGCGGCGTTGTTTCTCTAATTTCTCATTACAATATTTGAAATGTTACTTTGCAAAAGTATTTGGTTAATATTTGACAAAAAATTAATCAAAAAAAAAATAAATATATATTTTATTCATTTAGTGTTTGATACAAGAGTATATAGTATTAAAGGAGATAAATCTTACTCAGGAACTGCTGTGTGAAGACCATGGACATCATGTTTTTTCTTTCTTTCTTTTTCTAAGAAAAATATTATTGGTTTCATATTTATTTATAGAATTTACAATGACTCAGGAGCACATATGCAGTAAAAACTTTGCGATTTACGGTTGTTTTGAATCAGAATCTGAAATATTTAATGTTAAACTTTTTAAACATCAATGAAATAATTATTATTTCTGATTTTCATGTTATATTAACTTATTATATGCAACAAAGTTATAAAAATAAATACAAAATTTTACAGGTAAGAGAAATTGTATAATTAAAATTATTCCTACACATCCATGTATACATCAAGCAGAGAAGGAAATAAACGAAATGAGTAAGAAAATCAGCATGTAAATGACATGTGTACAAAATATCGTTTAAACCTGTATGTTCAAAATCATTCCTTTTCATTCATTTAAAGAAAAGGTTCATAAGGTAAATCAAATTCTAAAGAAAAAACAAATAGCACATGCAGGCACTTGATGTTCCACACATCTCGAAAAAAAAAACAAAACAAAAACAAACAAACTTGGAACCCATACCTAATAATTCGGTATGGGGTTTTATTTTATCATTTTTTCAGATATAACGTCAAAGAATAGTCTGTAGAGTAAAACTTACTGAAAGCATGATGTGTTTATACCATGTATGCAACATGTATAAGCGATCTGGGCTGTCATGGAAATAAACAAAACTTTTAAAAAGTTACTAATTTTCAACATATAAAACACATTAGTTTTTTTTTTTATCTTAATTAACATTTCAAAGTTTCACAATATCTTAGTCTAGGCAAGAACTCGGTGATTTAAGAAAAGTGATGAAAGTAATCTATTTTATTCATTTATTTCAATTAGAGAGAAAATAATCCATCGAAAGTTCCAAATATTCTCGCTATATACGGTATATTATTGTTCTATCAAAATTCATTATTGTTAAAATTTGTTTACAATGATATGAATGTCTGAATTCATGTTTACTGTGTATACACGGACTTCCTGTATACCCTACCTGTGCGTAATATTATGTGGTATTACATAATTAGGTACATGACAAGGGAGAAGATTGGCACGTGCGCTATACACACTCCAAGGTGGGATATCATGAACCAGAACCACAAAATCAGAATTAGTAAATATTTACATATCTGATTAAATAAATGAATTTTAAGAAAATATGGATGAAGGAAATTCCGAATTTAATACAAATGCATGTTTATCAAACTATTGAAAAGATCGTCAATTTACATGTATACAACATACCACACAAACTATTTACGCTCCAGAGCTGCAAATAATTTTTTTTCAGTTCTTCCTCCTCAGATAAATATTGTAGAAATTGTTAAAATGGTTAGTATTGTAGAAATTGTTATAATGGTTGCACAATCTGAATCATGGTTTCCGTGGTTATTTCTTTCTTGTCTAAGATTTGGGTCTTGGACATATCTAGTTTTAAAATTCATAAAACATTTCTTTTTTAATTAATTTGTTTTACATACATCAGCTTCAATGTTTATAAAAGTAAGTATTTACGTCTTCTTAGACGAACAGAAAATATAAGGAATATAAAATATTGTAAAGTAGGAGATATCTCCTTTAATATTACTGCAAATCTCGTGTGTAGATTTTTATAAATAATTATCAAAATTTTTTTCTTTTTTTGATTTGTTTATAATTAATTAAATGACAACCAAATAATTTATTAAAGTCATATATTGTTTTTTTAAAATAGTACATAATAAAAGAAACAACACCGCGGGCGTGTAGATTTTCTCGGCAGGCGTGCTCTAAGACGGAAGCAAATTATAAAACGAATAAAGCATCGGACATGTGCTTTTTAAATTATTTTTGTTTGGTAATACATTAAGTAAATAGTCCATTAAATTAATATATGTAATAAAATTAACTTTAGTCAATAAATAACAAGGCAGGCATATAGATTTTCTCGGCAGGCGTATTTTCCCCTGGCAGGCGTATTTTAGACTGCATAAAAGTTCTCAGATATTATTGACACCTAGAGGACAACATTTAAGTTTAAAGTAGCAAATGTACGTATATTTAATTGACCTTGAAATACTTCGGAAGTACTGCATGAACCCCCCCCCCCTTTCCAATTTAATAACATCATTTTTTTTTCACACAAATTTTGACTGGGGGCGCTTTGACCAAAAACAGGGGGCGGTTTAGAAACTACGTTTTCCTATAAAAATATGTCAAAATATGTCAGGGGGCTCTTTGACCAAAATCAGGGGGCGGTTTAGAAGCTATGTTTTTCTATCAAAATATGTCAGGGGGCGCTTTGACCAAAAACAGGGGGTGGTTTAGAAACTATACATACGTTTTCCTATCAAAATATGTCAGGGGGCGCTTTGACCAAAATCAAGGGGCGCATTGACCAAAATCAGGGGGCGGTTTAGAAACTACGTTTTCCTATTAAAATATGTTAGGGGGCGCTTTGACCAAAATCAGGGGGCGGTTTGACCAAAATCAGGGGACGCTTTGACCAAAATCAGGGGGCGGTTTTTGTAGTATCATATTTCTATAAAATATGTCAGGGGGCGCTTTGACCAAAATCTGGGGACATTTTGACCAAAATCATGGTACGCTTTGACCAAAATCTGGGAACGCTTTGACCGGGGCGGTTTTCATTGGGAACGGTTTGACTGGATTTCCCATAAAGATAGGACTCTCATATTATACTTGTATATGTATATTACCTGTGAAGAGAGTTTTCCAAATACTTACTGATTTTTGGTCCCTTGACCTTGAAGTTTTACGTACTTTTCAAAAATATTATTTTTCCCTTACAACTTTTGATTGAGAAGAGATGGGGCTTTCATATTCAACATGTACATTACTTGTTATGTTATGTAATAAGATGTTTTCGAGCATGCTTGATTTTTTTTACCGTTGACCTTCATGTTTGACCTAATTTTCAAATGATTTAACTTTGGAGATTATTTTAGGATGACATATGATAGGGCATCCATATTTGACACAATATGTCATATTTGCGATTATTAGCATCCCATCAACTACTTCTAAAGATACCGAAAGCAGGGAACCATAATTTTTTGAGTTTGCTTGTTTTGACTTTCTTTCTGACCTTGCCCTTGGAGTGGAGCGATTATTTGGGGATTTTGACGATTTTTTTCATATTGTACACATGATGAATATGTGTAATAAATATAATTTGTGAAAAAAAATGTCCAAAAAGCCCCGGGGTTGAATATCGGGGAGGGGTGTCCTGTCCACAAGTACCTTTGATGCCGGTAAGTAGCTTTAGTGAGTTTATTCTTAACCCCCAATCCCATGATGGCATGCAGAGGTTTTGCGAGATAAGCCACAAAGAATCAAAGTTCTCTTTATAAACACCAACCAATCTAGTGTGTATTGCTGATAAATCGTACGAGAATTATGGTAAATACTGAGTATATAAAAATGATGATTTTGTCAAGACTTGGTCAGGTACAACTTCTATCAATTCAAGTATTGATTTTATTGGGTCACATTGTTCAAGTTCTGATTTAAATCGAACCCAATAACAAGATAAATGTACATGGTTCGGGTCGTGTTTGCTTTAGATCCACAATTTGGGATTTAAGTTGTTTTAAAATTCAGCGATGATATCTTGTTACCATATTATAAAGCTTTGATTTAATTCAGTTAATCGAGACGTATCTGAATATACATTCGATTTGTCACTTAAATGAATTGAACAATTGATAAAGTATAGTTTTTGGTACACTGAATTACGTGTGGAAAATAGTCCCATCGATCCTTTATTGAACAGGTAAGTAAAATCATTCAGCGCTGCGTCCAATAGAATGCATTTTCCCGTTGAGGCGTTTTAAACAGCTTTTACTTTCGGAGTGAATGCATTCATTAACTAACAGCCATTTAACTCGATCATTTCAGAATTCAAAGTATGTTCTCAAACTCGGGATAAAGTGAACATCGTGATGCCCCCCGCTTGGTCGGAGTATATCACCAATGTCTTGATTGAGAGTGGATACGTATCTCGGGCTGCTGTTGTGGGCGCTGATGGGCGTCGATGGGCAACATCGCCCACTTTAGAACTATCTTCTGCGGAGATCCAAGCTATCGCGCGTGGATTTGTGGAACCATCCAGTCTCCGACTAGATGGGATATTTCTGTGTGGTAAGCCGTACACGTGTACGCGGATGGACAGTGTGGTGATGGTGGGGCGTGAGGGCGCCACAGGGTCGGGGTGTATCGTGTATCGATGTAGAAACGCTTTAGTGATTGGTGTGTATGAAGATGGTGTACATCCTGGAGGGTGCTATAACATGATATGTAAAGTAGGCGACTACCTCAGGGAGCAAGGAATCTAAAAAATATTTTGTTCTTCGTAAAAAATTGGAATTAAAGAAAGTTGAGTCTACAACGAAATTCGGAGAAATCGACCCGTTTTCCATGCTACAAACTCAGAAAATAGACAAATAGGTGTAGTTGCATACTTGGAAAAAGAGGAAGACCATGGCATTTCGATAAATTAACAAAGTATACATACGTAGTGTTTAATTGGTAAAATGGATCGACTGTGTTTGTGTAACAGCGTGAGAAAGTTATCTTAAACCACAAAAGAGTCCATAGACAATGAAATACCGCCTTAAACGATCTTTAGAAATGTTTTAAATTGGATTACAATGATTCTTTTAAAAGTCGATTTACTTTGTTCAAGCGAGTACAGGGTATTACGGATTTGTTATTTTTAAATGTAATAAATGAGCTTATATTTCTGAATCAGCCTGTTGTCTGATTAATAAAGTTGATTTTACCTCGTAACAAATGGCTGAGTTTTGATTTGAAATTAAATTCTTCTGACGGATGTCACTGAAACGTTATGGAATGAATTAGTCTAGTGCTGTAGAGGGTCATCGTCCGTTGAACCAGTAACGAACAAAGGGAGCATGTTAAATATGTTTGAGGTCCTTTTTAATGGTTAATATTAGAGGCATCTAATTTTTACTCATTTATCTCAGATTTACAGATCTTTTTTATACCCCCGTAATTGAAAATTCGGGGTATATATTTTGACCTCTCCATCCGTCTGTCTGTATTTCTGTTTTTCCGCAAAAACTTTAACCTTGCCCAAAACTTTTCAACCTTAATGGGTATAAATATTGTTTTTCCTTTTGGCCTTGACCTAAGAGTTTGATCCACTTTTTAAAAACTTTAACTTTGGCCATAACTTTTGAACAGCACTATGGCTTTCATATTTCAAAGGTGTATTCCTTGCGACAAGACCTTCCGTTTGATACCAAGAATTTGACCTTTGGCATTTGACTAGCATTTGAGAAACTTCGACCATAGCCATAAGCTGCCATACAGGGACATCAGTGTTTCAAAGACACATCTTGTTCTTCTTTAATTTTTTTTTTATTTACCTGAGCTAAAAGCTCATGTGAGCTTTATTGATCACATTTTGTCAGGCGTGCGTTTGTTAACTTTTTTTCATTTTTAGGTCACCCGTGTCACTCAGGTGACCTATTGCTATCCGTTTTTGCCCGTCGTCGTTCGTTAACATTTAAACATTTTCAAAATCCTTCTCTGAAACCGCTTAACCAATTTCAACCAATTTTGGTATATAGCATCTATGGGTAAAGGGGAACAAAAATGTTGAATTTCATGGTCCCTGCCCCCCTGGGGCCTGAGGGATGGGGCTAAAACCACTAAAACTAAAACAATCTTTAAAAATCTTTACTCCTGGACATCAAGTAGTCGAACTGTTGGTGCATTGAGCCCTCTACCAAAATTGTGAAATCCATGGCCCCAGGATCAAGGGTTCTGGTGTTAGGGCGGGGATATATAGATCATATAGTGAAAGTGCATTATTTCTTTGGAAATCTTCTTCTATATACTCCTGAGTAATAAACAAACCAACTAAGTACATAGTTATGATAAACAAGAGTGCCTCTTTGATCAAAAATTTTGAAATTCATGGCCCCAGGGTCAGGGGTTCTGTTGTTAGGGCGGGGCTCTATCGATCAAAGGTGAAAGTGCATTATTTCTTTGAAAATCTTCTCTACTACTGGGTAATAAACAAACTAAGTACATAGTTATGATGAGCATATTAAAGTACCTCTTCAAAAATTATGAATTTCATGGTCCCAAGGTCAGGGGTTCTGGTGTTAAGGTAGATCTCTTTTATTTATCTCTGCGTGCGCATTTTACCTACTTAAATTTTTTATGTAAAAGTTAAATCGAAAAGTTCAAAGACACTGATTTGAACGCGTATAATTTGGGATCAAGATTTAAATCATTCTTCCGATAGATCTACAGAGAGGTCGATATATGAACCCCCCTTAGCTATTAAAGTATTGACAATTTCAAATAGAATTACAGCCATTAATCACATTGAGAGTTGTCTTTCCTATGAAAGGGTCAATTAACCTTAACGCAATCACATAAAAATCAAGATCAAATAGGATAATTCCTTATATTATTGCTCTACTAACTAGGTCTCAAAATAGAGTTTGAGGCTTTTTCGTGCAAAATCTTCATGATGTGCATCTTATTATGATCTAGGATTCTTTGAAGTCTCTGAAATCCTAATGTAAATATAGCAAACGAGACAGGTAGGAGACAAAATTACCTATTGGTGTTTAGTAAATACCAGTAAGGACAATAGAAAGAGGATAATATTGAAGAAGCCCTCTACAGGATAACTGAGAATTAAATACTTTTTTTAAGGTAATGTTTGTTACCCGTACAAGTACAAAAAATAAAAAAACAAAATTCCTTTTCTTGTTTTAGATAAATAAAGGAGCTTATTAGCATGATTTAAAGTTAGAAGTGATCTGTGATGTCTTTCAGTTATAACAGAAGCTTTTAACATTATGAATTATATATAACAACTGAAGTAATCAAGTCTAGGCCTACAGTGTTTTTAAACTGAAAACGTTTGACAGAATACTGTTTACAGTGTTATTTTCGCCCCGTATTATTTTCGCCCTTTCACACTTGCAAACAATTTTGCCCCGTTTTGAAAGTAAAACGGGGCGAAAATTTCCCTGTCTCCAAGAAATATGCAATATCAAGATAACCATATACATGTATGCTAAATCAAAAGCGTTTGAAAAAGATGACACACAAGCAACCAACATTATTTTATTAATATTATTTTTAAATATCTCCAACCTGTATAATCAACAAAGGTAGAGGGTTCATTTTCTTTCATTAAAAAAAAATATATATTAGATGTCAAGTGCTTGTGTGATGCCATTATTCATAAAAGTAGTGGTACAGTGAAAACTGTCAATTCTAACACCTGTGCAACCTGACACAATGTTAATTATTCCAACATTAAATTTCTTTCCCATGTTACTATTTACCATGGGTTTTTTTTCAGTATTTAAAACGGCACACTGTCTGCTTCCACACAAAATTCGTCTCCCAGTGCATGTTGGATTAAACAGGGTTCAGTGCTGTAGCAGTGTGTTTTTACAGCTGAACCATTCGTGAAAGGAATTTGTCTGCCATATTTAATTGTTCACTCACTACATCTGATTTCCCCTATGTAAAGTTGCTCACTTTGTCACTGTTTGAACAGTATTTTCAGTAGTTACCGGTGTGGACTGACGTATGCTACACAGCATTTGGTAGTGAGAAAAAAATAACTGTGTACTTCTAATGCAGGATAGTAAGAATAAAGAAACTTGCAACATTTGCATAGGTCAGTGCAGTATACAAATAATGGTAATCATTCAAATGTAATTATAAACAAGGGAAATGTCAGATAACTAGCATGAACACATGTTGCCATTCCACACAGATACCCATGACATTGAACTGGTCAGGTGCAACAAATGCGAACATATACCGGTGCTGATATCTTAGATAGTATTATTGAAAATGGCATATTTACGAGTCGTGTTCAGCTTTATTTCTTAAGACATCAAGTGGCTAATAAACAGAAAACTATTACACGTACCTTGAAAGCAACAAAAGTTACATTCAGATGTCAAAATTATTTTTATTGCCTGTCATAAGTGGTTCTTACATACAACAGCATACTTTATAGATGACATAATCAGGTATACATATAACAAAGGAATCAGATTTCAATTACAAAATATACTGATAATATTAAAGAAACAATTATAGACCAAACATACTATGCACTTTCATGGGAAAAATCTACTTTGTTTTTTAATTGTAGATTCGATTCATGTTATTTGCTCTCCCCAAATAACCTTTTATATACAGGTATGTTAAAAAAAAACTTCAAAAAATCAAATGTATGCTTCCTGCATTTCAATTTTAGTGAAATTACACAAAAATGCTGTTTTTAATCAATTATCTAATACATGTATAATATTTTGAAGTCTTTAATACAATGGGACAAGAAGGTAACTATATACTAATAATTTCCTTCTGTATCAAGAATGTGATTTTTTTTCTCAAGTATGTTCAACTCTACAATTACATGTTTTTTTATAAAAAAAAATTACTTGATTAAAAATCAAAAAACAGAATTACAACTTTCCAAGAAGCATATTTTTGTACAAATTTTCTTTTCAATCAGACAAAAAGGGGGAGTAGAATTTTAGCTCAAATGGATAGTTCAAAAATTGGTAACTATGGTAACACCATTAACCAAAAATAACACTTAGTTGATTTTTTTTTTGTAATTTTGATTTAGTCCAAATTTAAATTAGATAAAAATTAAAGTCAAACATCTCTATCTCAAACTCAGTGGACTAAAAAAAATGGGGAGACAACCAATATTAAATGTCCAAGGATTTTACAATTAAAAAAAAAATCTGCATTGAATTACATACATGTGATTGGTTTTTAATATTCTTCATATCCTATATTACATAAACAAATGATTTAAAGATACAAACAATGAAATAAAAATGTTTTCTTGTACATATTTTAACATAAAAAGGGGTTAAATAACTAAAAATCAAAAATACAATAGTACCCTCACATCTTACATCAGAATCCACCTTTCATCATGCACACATATTACAAAAAAAAATCATACTTGATCATTCACACAGTCCTATAAAAAAGGTTATGAAGATAATGAAAGTAGAGGAGAAAAAAAATCAGAAAATGTCTGCCAGCACTACTGCCATCTACATGTCATCATCCATTCAATTCGTTGTGTCCATCAATGTCATTAGGGTGTGAAGGAGATCAGGGTACCTGTAGCCACTTCAGATGACATTCCTTTAGATGGAGTCTCCTGCAGATCTGGTGGGGTGTAGAGTAAGCTTGGTCTCTGAAATACAAAAAGTAATAATCATTTAGAGGATATTCTCCCATTACTAGCAGTTGGACAAGACGAATGCTGCATGAATTACCAATGTAGAATTTCCTATCATGTGAGATTAAGTGAGAAATATTTATTTACATTGATTTATCTACATCATAGCATATAATACAGCATTCATGCAGAGACAAAAAAAAAATACACATAAAAATGTACATGGTCCAAAGTTTATCTTTTACAGTATAATATTTTACAGTATAATATCTATATCATAATTTAAAGACTAAAAATTTTATCTTTCCATAACAAATGCTATAAAAATCTAAAGGAGGAAAAGAAGCATTCATTCTGTATGAGATCCATTTAGGATAGAAATATTCATTTTTTTTTTAAATCATATTTGGGAGCTCATTAAGCCTCATCTTAGACAACAAAACTGATCCCTTCTGGTTTTTGTTCCTATAATTCATTACTTGCATCATACATAGCATTTACTTTTGCCTTCATTTTAAAACAAGAACTTTCTTATACAAACATGTAAGACACCCCAAAAGGTTGTAGTAATTACAAAGTCGTAGTTAAATGAAGAGACACTCACTGATCGTGTAGACCTTGTTACTGGAGTGAAGGCCACATTAAGACTGGAGAACTTGGAGCCTGTGTCACTCTGACTGTCTGAGTCTGAATCTGGGTCATCAACTACAACAAACATTAAAACATAAGTCAGAAATAAATAACACTGTTTACTAGCACTGTTGTAAGAATCCGGTCCTTTGTACACTCTGTAGAGAGGTGGTACACACCTAATGATCTGTGAGGGGTGGGAGGGTGTCTTAGACAGGATTTGTCTTTCTCTGGCAGTGGACTACAAAATGACACACTCCTCCTGGCAGATCTTCTCCTGGACTGTTTCAGTGTAGTCTTCAGAGCTTTCCCACCTACACGATAAAATAAGTCAGGATATTTTCAAATAAAACCTTGATTCTGACATGTCAAGAAATGTTGGATCACAATTTTGTTGTCACAATTTCAGTGGTAGTCTCAATTACATGCCATATTTATCTATTGTCACCCTAGTCAATCAATGATTATATTATTCATAAAATAATATATAATGTAAAGATATATTCCCGCCCTCATGATAGTCAAATGTAATAGGTAACCAGAAGTCTCTGATGAGACTGTAGGTCTACTGGTCTGTACAAATAACAAAGGAAAAGTAGCGCTTGGATTTGAAACTTTGCAAAAGGCAGCAATAAATAGAAATATGTTTCTTAATGTAGTCTACTTGTGTGCCAAGTTATATTGAAATCAGACCAAAACTGTAGGAGGAGTAGTGTATTAAAGGAATTTCACAGAAATTTCTATTTTTAGTAACCATGGCAACACTGTTCATCGAAATCAAAAACCAATGCACTAAATTATGTATCTTAGTGTAGTCTACTTGTTAACAAGTTATATTGACATCAGAGCAAAACTGTAGGAGTAGCATTTTGAAAAATTGTTTACAGACAGACGGACGGACAGACAGCTAGACAGGCGGATGGACAACAGACACCTTGCTATCACATAAGCTCTTCTAGTCTTTGACCAGTAGAGCTAATAATAGACATATTTTATGGATTGAAAACAAATAAAGGGCAATTTTTTCTCTCAGTGACACCACAAGCTATTGGGATTTTCCAATATACATGTATTTTGTAAAAGAGGTCAATAATGCACAAAATTTTCGGTTTTGACTACAGTACTCATAGAGCACAAACTTGCATGGAGCTACATTCACATTATTTTAATGATATTAGTTTACAAATAAAATTCTACACATCAAATCTGAAGGTAATTCAAAGGCAGACCCAATAATTTTGGGCATAAAAAGTACCTCTCCTTGAAAATCTTTTAAAAGATATTAAAAATCTTTTAAAAGAACACCTCATAATTTCTTAATACAGAACTATGACTGGGCGAATTTAAAGGAAAGGAAAATAAGCAAAATTGTTCACAAGTTCAAAAGGGCGAAAATATTTTAACATTAAAAAGCCCCCTGAAAAATTTTAACCCTGTATACAGTATTTCAAATAAAATTCTACACATCATATCTGAAGGTAATTCAAAGGCAGACCCAATAATTTTGGGCATAAAAAGTACCATATTCTTTCAAAATCTTTTAAAAGAATCTTGATATCAAGACTTTTTTATCTTAATACTGTGTTTTGAGAATGTTGCTTGGTGTCATTCTATACCCGAGCTGAGACGAGAATGATCATCTTCCTCCACACTGAAGTAACTGTCCATCACACTGACCGGGCTCTCGGTCTCCTCTGGGATGGGCTGAGAGGGCTGTAGGTACTTAGAGAAGCTCTCATCAGCGGGAGACTCAGGCTTCACTGGCTCTTCAACAAAGGACACTGATTTCCTCTTCATATTGATGGATCTCCTAAAAATTTACGGATAATTGTCAATTGACTCAAAAAATTACTTTACTGAATTATCAAGTCCTTTCTAAAAACAGCATAAAACACTATTAAAGACAAGAACCTGAGTGATTGTCTTCTTGGTCTTGGTGTCTCGGTTTTTTCCTCTGTTTGGTTTCCGGAGGGAGTGGCCTTCAGAAGGCTCCGTGTGAAGCGAGGCTGAGGGGTAGAATCCTGCAGAAGAGGACTGGGTATAACAGGGACATAGCTCTGTCTTTTGGGGGTTCTAATCATAGCTACATCCTCCACCAGGATAGCAGGGGGCTTATCCTGAACCACTGCTGGCTGAGATGTACTGTCCTCCATTGGTTCAATTTCCTCTCCTGATTTTGGCTGAAGGGGCATGGGCAACTCCTCCTTTGGTTTGGGTGACTCAACTGACTTTGGCTTGGGTGAACCAGCTGTAAAAATAAGTTATGTATGAATAAAATTTTTCTTCAGGATTCAATTTTGGCTCTTTTCTTGAAATTCTTGTGGTCCCTTTTTGAATATTTGATCAACTGAGAGCTCACTGCCTAACAGCTATCCTTCTGAGTAAAATCAGTTTTTATGGACAATTCATAAAATTTGTGTCTTGCTGAAAATCCCCCCCCACTTCCCTGATTTATTGGAATAATGCAGATGACACAATCTAGTAATACAAGTACTTTTCATCAGTTTTTTTATGAAATATAGATAAATGAAGGAAATAGGCTTGACGCAGATGCTAGGATGCTGTATATACATGTGTCCATACCTTCACAGTGATAGGTGGGTTTCCTAATAGGACTGGTCACTTTGAAGAGACCCCAGTCATGTTCAATGGTTTGAGCAGGAGCGGTAGAGGCTTTCAGGCTAGCTTTAAAGGCAGCAAACTTAGACTTGACAGGTTTCTTAATCACTGGCTTGTTGACAACTTTTTTCTGTCAGATCGAAAATAAGACTTTTGATTGTAAATGTATACATACATGTTTAATGTATTGACCATTCTACCTGTATTTATAGATTACAAATATATCAGGGCTCTCGATTCTCTCAAACTGGGGCCGATATTCGGCCCCGTTCCCAATGAAAAAAGGTATCTTTTTTCCCAAAAGAAAGGTATAAATTTCCCAATTTTATAACAAAATATAATTAAAAATAAAAGTTCATGACTATCACTCAGAAAGACAAATAATAGCAATATCAACACTCAAAGATAGTTATGACAAAGCTAAATAATGTACTTTCATAAATAACCTATGTACCCATGTTTGTTTTGTTTAACTGTTTTAATTAAAAACAAGAGTTAAATTTATGACAAAATGCTAGAAAAGTAAAATTTGAGGATTTTTTTGAATGAATATAGGTCATCCAAATTTTCCCAAAATGATGAGATAATTTTCCCAATTTGAGAGGCCCCGACCCAGTCCCAAAAAGTGGTGTGAGAGTCCTGTATATATACTGTAGATTGGCAAATAATCACGATGGTTTTAATTTCACTATGTTCGCGATTTGTAATTTTTCCGCGAAATTAAACCCATCGTGAATGCTATCATTGGTAATTGGTAAACGTTTAAATGCGTATACGCAATTACAATAAATTTCTAGGAGCGTGAAATTAAAACCATCGCGATTAGTAGTTTTCAAGAAATCGTGAAATTTTAACACCGTGGAATTAAAACAACTTACAGTATCCTTTTTAGCTTCACATGCATATGATATTTAGTTTAAAATGTAAATGACATACTTTGACAACTTTTTTGACTAGTTCTGGGGATTTCTTCACCCATCCTGATTCCTTTCGCTCTTGTAAATCTTCAAATTTCTTATCTACATCTTCTACCTGTGATCAAAAGTAACAAAAAACATTGACTCAAATAAATTATTATACATGTATCTCCAATAATAAAAAATTCTATCAGTTTTGTAATATTAACTTGTAGTCTTAGCTCAAAAACATTGAAAACAGAGCAGTTTTTACTAAAGGAAAACATCTATTAATTCTTGTCAGGCCAAAAATTATGAGCGGATTAAGTACCTGAAAGTAAATCATATCCCAGAACCCCTGTAGGTCGGTACAAGTTGTCTCCTTCTCACCGGTCTTAAATTCACAGTTGTCAACTAAGCCTGTGAACTGTTTGAATCTTTGAGCTATCAACAGCTGGGCTTGTCCTATCACTGTGCGGATCTGTCCTTGCACTGAAATAAGAGTATAGCATTATAAGAACAAAATCAAAAGAAACATATTATTATCCATCAGTATTATGTTCTACAAGTGAACTGTTCTGATTAAGTTAATACCCTCTTCTGAGAGATCTGGGGTGTTGATTCCTTCCCACTTCTCACTCAAGGCATTAAGCCTGTTAGTCTCTGATGACAAAAGATTTCTGAAGTACTTTACATCATGTTCTGGTTCTTGTTTTCCTTCTGAAAAGCAAAATAAAAGGATTTTTGAATTTTGGAAAAAGTGAAAAGTAAGGTCCTGCTGTCAAAAGGCATCACAGTGCAACAGTCCAAATAAAATTTTGGAATAGTCACAAACATACCCATTATTAAACAGTACTGTTATATCATTCATTTGAAAATTAAGAATTGAAGAGAAATTTTACCTGTACTATTAATTCCAGACGTAGACTCTTGTAATGGTACCACTGTATCGGCAGCCATTTCATCTGTGTCCATAGATTCTACCCCCTTCTTCTCCAGTGTTGATTCCTCGGTATTCATTTCTTTGGCACTTGATTCTAAGGTCTCTTCAACTGCTGCAACATCTTCATCAGTCAATACAGAGGAGTTCAGGTTTGCCATGATGACCTTGGAAATATCTAGGTCACTTTTGATGTCCTCTTTTGGTGGCAGGTCAAGGTCATCAAGATCAAGCTCCAAGTCTAAAGATGGAATTTTTGCTGCAAGACAATTTACACTATCAATTTACATGTGCTCTTTACAATTTCTTAAATCATAGTGGTATTTTTAAAATCATGTAATTCTTATTATTTTAAAATTGTTTACTTACACACTGGAGACTTTTGTTTGGGAGTCTTTCTAGTCATTTCAATCATTGGACTGCTCTTCAGAATCTCCACCCTATATAAGGTAATAAACAAAATTTCTTTTAAAATTCCTTTCTTTGTAACCAGCATTAAATCAAGATCTCCCACTTGTCTTAATCATGAAATAATCTGCAGTATACTGCAAGTACTGACCATTCCTCAGGACTCCTATGCACATGGAGGGTATGCCTTCTCTGCTTTGGCTTGGTACGTTTAGCAGACATGGACTCTGACGGGAGCTTGAAGCCGTCCACCACAGCCACAGAGCGCCGAGTGACTTGCTTTGGTTTAGAGTTTTCTTTGTTCCCTGCTGTCAAATCTTCTGGGATTTCAGCAAAATCTGGTCTCATTCTGATGGATCGTCTGGATTTTCTCTTTGGCGCTGGAGATGAATTTTCCTCTGCAAACACCTCATTGCTCTCTTCCAATTCAGATGCCAGTTCTTTTGTATTATCAGAAATTCCATTTTCCAAGTTAACTGAAACTCTAGATTTTCTTCTTGCTTTTACTGATGGTTTTTCCTCAACTATCTCCTTCTCAGTATTCTTACTTGAAATCTCTTTGACATCTTCAGAAAGTGTACATGGTGTTTTAATAGACCGTCTTGATTTTCTTTTTGGCACTGAGGGTGATGATTTGGGCTCATTTAAACTATCATTGATATCCTCTGTAACTTCAACTGTCAGACTATGATTCGTGAGTTTTACAGACCTAGTGGAACCCAATTCATCATTATCCTGTTGATCACAAGTTTCTGCTGATTCCACCTCATTGTCTTTGGTCATTTCAGTATCTTCCATAACCTGATCTGTGCTATCACTTGTTTCTTTCTGCTGCTGCTCTGGTGAATTAATCACGTCCACTTTAACGTTTCCACCAGGTTTAACACTGACAGACCTTCGTGACTTTCTCCTTTTTGTCGTACTTTCTTCATCCCGACTGTGGGATCTTTTTCTGGACCGAGACCGGGAGGGGAGCTCTCTGCTTGAAGACCTCTTCCTTGATTCTGGCTTAGGACCAGCACTCAGCGCATTACTTACAGACTTTCTTGAGCGAGGAGTTTTTTCCATTGATTTCCTGGACTTAGATGGAGTTTCTACCTCTTTGGCAGTTGACTTTCTTGAAGTAGGTTTTGTTTCAATTGCAGACGACTTTTCTACAGAATTCAGAGATTCATTTTTCTGTGACACAGATTTTGTTTGAGAGCGTGTTTGTCTTCTGTTTCTAGTTGAGTCAGTGGGGACATTCGCAACATTATCATCCTTCGAGCTTTTGTTTCCTGTAAAAAAAAGTTCATACAAAATACAATTTTCCCCCCCAAAATGGATTATCCATGTCAGATGAACATTGTCAAAACATTAAAATGGACATGTACAAAGTACACAAATTTCATATGAAAACTTGTGAACTATAAGCATGATAAGTGAGGGAAAAAAATTTCACTTTACCATTAGGCCATAATAAATAAATTGCTAGATTTTCATCCGAATTTTTTTAAAAATCGAGGCGGGCGGGCGGCTTTTATTTTATATTTTTTCATTTTTGCAGATTTTTTATTGACCTGGTCAATCGGTGTAATTTTATCTACAATACCCGAATAAAAGTCATAGTAAAGGTTCAATTATCTCTTACTTCACAGCATCACCAACCTTTTTCAACCAATGACCCTTGTTTAAAATATACAGGCATGTATTACAGCAATTACCATCTTTTCAGCTGTCAAAATCAAATTTAAAACGAAAGTAGAATGGTACATGAATATACCGATCCCGATCAGAATTAAGACGAAGAAAAACAGAAATAAAAAATATCGAGGCGGGGGTATAAAATTGGGGCGGGCGGGGATGAGAATCTAGGAATATTTTTATTATGGCCTTACAGTTAACTATTGTTTAATTATAAAACAGAAGTGAGTAAAGCATGATATAATTAAATCAAATCAAACCCTGTGATTGTGCTACAGTTCTAAAATACCTGTCTTCTCCTCATCAGAAAGTGCCACACTTGCAGTTCGTGTTTTCTTTGGTGTTGAACATCTGAAAAAGCAAAACTAATGTAAGATTTCATGTAACAAGATGTCAATAAAATATAGTGGTCACCTGAATCAGAGTACGACAAGTTTCTCAGTTAACATGAACATTTGACATTATTTCAATTGAGAATAGGATTTTAATGACCCCAACATTTTTTGATTTTTTTGTTGACCTCCCCTTAGAAATGGACTTGGTCTCTCATTTAATTGAAATTCTTAAATACAGCACTAAAATAAACAAAATTATATATTTATTCTGAGATGAACATTAATAGAACAAACCTTCCTGGATCAGTAGAAGAAAATACAGCTGTCTCATCTGGATTGTTGGAGTACAGAAAGTTTTCTGAACTTGTGGGGCTGAGAGGTTTGAAGACAAAAGAGACCAAGTTGTTTGGAGCCGTGAAAGTAAACTCCTCAGGGGCAAATGACATTCCTCTGGCTGTAGACACCTTGGTCAGATCAACTGTTGCCTTGTCTACACCTCCTTGAGCACTCTTCTTGACAGGGGCTTTCTTATCTTTACTTTTCTTAACACTGGTCTGTGCAGGCTGGGTTGTTTTACCTGTAATCAAATAACACACATAAAAATAATTGCCTCATTTTAATGTTTACAATTTTACAAAGGCTACTTCTCTGTTCTATGATTGGAAGGTCGATTTCATGATTGTTTGATTTTCCCTTTGGCAAAAAGGAAAACAATTGCATAGCGCTACATAAACTTTTTGTACCTAGAAAACCTTTCAAATGTGACTTCTTTTACTTTTAGTTAACCTAATTCAATTAAATGTTAAATTTTATGCCCATATTGGTTTAGGAAAGATAAGTGTTAGAGAGAAAACTCTTTTTCACCTAGTAATAACTGTCGGTGAGTTTTGAAATATTAAACTGAAAATGCTTTTATCTTAACAATTGGAAATACGGAGGATTTCCAATTAAGTGTACTTAAAAAAAAGATTCAGCAACTGAATAGATAATTAATAAATTTTAAGTTGATTTCAGAATTTGTAGTTCAAACAAATGCTTTTATACCTGCTCTCTGATTGGTTGTCCTTGTTACTCTTTCTGTCACTGGTTTATTTGGTCCCTACATAGAAATGGAAAAAGCAAAAATTATTTAGTAACGATATTAGCATTACACATATTTTAATTTGTGATTTGAATATACATGTATTATCCTAGTGATGCATTTAAACTTAAGGCCATACCAATTTCTAATATAGTTCGTCGGATTCGCCGCTTCTATTTCTAACAAATCCAAATTATAATATTAAAAAAATAAATTTCGCGCGCGCGTCCAAAAATATCCGATTTAATTTTTTTCTCGACTTTTTACACAAAACGCATAGAAGACTTGGAAATTTGTATAACAGAAGCGCGGGATTTAGTGTTTGTTTGCACTTTTTAGCAGACTGTGAAGTTTTGCAAGACGCTCGTGTAACTGTTTGTATGTACTAGGGGTGAGCAATTAGCACATCCAAACAACCGGGGCTACCATTTTTGGGGATCAGGCTAGGTGTTTTCTGCAAGGAGGTAGCACGTCGGGCTAGTAAAAAACATAACTACACACGCAATGCAACAATGACAAGAACAATTGGTATTTTCACTTGTATTTATTATAAAATTCCCAACCAGTGAAAATTTTCCAGACAACGTGCTCCTATTGTCAATAAATCTTGATAATCTTATCTGTTTTGTAGTTCTATCTGACTTAATTACTTAAAATAATTATTTTAATATGAAATTTCCATTTATGGTAAATACATGCTATCTCATTAAATTATTTACGATTATCCAATGAACTGAAAGATAAGTGTTTTATGACTCACATAAAATATATTTCCAGTGTATTTAATGATTTAAGATGAAAACAAAATGATTTTGATTTTATTTTAAATGAGCTAGTGCAATGATCAAGAAAAAGGGAAGATAATTCATTTAAATTAATTTATTTTTTTTTTCATAACAATTTATGCATGATTAATATTGATAGTGAGAACTTTTAACTTTAATTTTAAAAAGAAAGACCCCAGTACCCTGACTTTTTCAGATTAATTTCTTCTCCATTTATATTTTTTAATAACTTTTTACTAGGGGCTATTAAGAAATCACTTGCCTGTGGAAAAGTACTTGATTTTTTTCTCATTGAACATGTGTGCTAAAAAAAATTTTTGCCATTATATTAATTATATTCGTCGTGCATAATTTTGAAAACTGAACATGCATTTACCCCGCCATGGGGTAGAATTAAAAGGGTGCAGCTTACAGAATGAAAAATGTTGTGTATTCAAAATTATGATTCAAAAACCTAAAATTTTTTATTCTTTGCGTGTTAACAAAATTTTATCGTTAGAAAGATTTCTTTTCAAAATCGATCACTATTAAATTATCTTCACATTTTCATTACGTATATATACAAATTTTCTGACGCTAGAGGAACTTCAAGGGATTAATTCTCTCATCAATTTCTGTACAACTTCGTGCGGAATTGTTTTTATACATAGTACAAAATAAAACATCTTTTAATAACTATGTTATGCCGTTTATTAGTGCTGAATATTTTTTAGGATTATATCCCATTTCTTAAAAAAATATATTTAAATCCACATTTCAGAGTGTTCACATTCCAATTATTTAACTTCAAATATATTTGCAGACAGGGTTAATTAATCTCAATGTGGACGCGGATTTTCTTCAGGAGGAAAGCTAATTTATGACATACAGATAACTGAATGGACGATATCTCTCTTTGCCAATTCATAGTAACAAACAGCAGTGAAAATAGAAAAGAAATATTTTATTATGTTAATGTTTTAATAATCTACTTTCAATTAATTTTTGAAATATTCAAACATTGCCCGTTTTCTTATGCTGCGTGTATACTCTGCTAGAAGACTTGAAAGCGTTATGTATTTCTGCCTATTACCAGGTAATTGTTTTCAAAACATGCAAACTCAGATTATCAAGAAGCACAGGTAGCTGACCTGTCAGTCAGGTCAGAAGCTATTGTTTTTTAATGATTGACAGGCGGTAAATTATTGATCTTAAATCAGGTAGATTTAGGGGGCGTTAACATAAAATTGGGTGTTTAACCAAAAAAAAAAAATATATGCATGTAATATTTTACATCCCCAAAATCAAAAAAGATTGCTTTTTTTTAAATACAACTCTTCCTCCAACTGCCACCTAATAAAAGACATAAGTGTAATAAAACTCACCTTCTTTCTGGTTGAATCTTGTTTAGTTACAGATGAATTGCCATGTCTCTTTTGCACTGTTTCAAATTTGTTCACCTTAGTTTCTTTATTAAATGATTTAGCCTGGAGAGGCATTGTACTTGATTTAGTCTAAAATATAAACATAAATGAGTCTTTCTAAACAACTGATAAAATTGAAACATGAAGGTTTGCATAAAAAATCACAACAAACATTAAAATACTGTAATTGTACTTTTTCCCCAAGGGTCGTAATTCCATGGGAACAGGATTTCTATTCAATGCATGATTAGATAAATATCAAGACACCTTAGACTGTCACTGCACATGTATTTCTTTCATGCTCTAAGCATGATGTGAGACATATTCTGTGGAAAATTTGTGAATGTACATGCAAAAATTAATCCCACATGATGAAAAGTAAGTCTACAGAAGCTGAAAATTTGTAAAATAGCCATTACCTTGCTGGTCTCTGCAACACCCTTCTTAACTTTAGAAACTTCTAGATTATCGCTATACTCCATATGCTTTATGATAAATGGTCTTTTCTTTGCTTTTTCATGTGCTTCCATTTTCTTTTTCAATGCTTTTTCCTCTCTCCATTTCTTCAGTTTTGCTTTCATTTCATTTTGCTTTGTAGCTTTGTCAACTGTAAAAAGAAAATAATTTGAAAGCTGAGATAGTAAATTGGAAGCTGCAGAACTGTAGGTCTCTACTTGAGAAAATTCAGACAGATAAAGCAGATTCAGACAGATAAAGCAGATAGCTACAGATCCAAATTTTGAAAAACTCTTTGATTTATGCTGCTGTTTTTCGTACCTCAATTCGGGTATTATTTTCCCCTCCTTAGAAATGGTTTCTGATAATATACCATATATTTTACTCTTATTTTTGGACAAGTGTTTGTTCTTTAGAAGATATCTTATGCATGGTCTCCAACACGGACGTCAAAATGGTAATTTTGTATATCAACATTCCAAAAACATGAACGGTTGTTTGAGACCCTTGAATTTTAAAATAAAGTATCAAGAATAGTTGTAAAATACATGTTTGATTATAGAATACCATTATAAAAGCAGGGGGGAAACTTGTATATACAAAAAATGATACCCGAAGTGAGCAACAAAAAAGTGGCAACACATATAGAAGGTTTTTACAATACTTGGATCTGTAGCTCTCTGCTTTATCTGTGCAGCTAGTAAAATGGATGTTTGTCACTGTTAAATCAGCATAAATGGTAACCAAAAAAAAAACAAACAAACAAACACATTGAGAAGAAAGTTATCCCCATTTTAATACAAGGTTTTGTTATGCTCTGTGTGGCTCACTGAATAGTCCCAAAAATAGGCTCATTCATGATATTTCATGTGCCAGGAACACGTCAGAACCAGCGCCATCATGAAAACTGGAAATTTCAGCGTCTCAAATCGGAGCATATTTTTGATACTTGGAATTTAAATGCCAACCTCACAATTTATCAAAAGCACAATGCCTCTGGTACTCACTAATATCGATGAAAAGAAGACACTCCACATTTCAATACAGATCTTGCAAGATTTTTAAATACATTAAAAGACAACAAAACTTGACAGTATAAGATATTTTCACCAGACTGTATATTTTATAAATTAAGAATAAAAACAATGTTGGCCATAATTCTCACTTTTAACTTTAAGTGAAAGTTTACTATAAGTGAAAGAGCACCCGTAGAAATTGTTGGCAAAATAAAGGCATTGTACCAATGGTAAGATGTGAATTTAGCAATTAATTTGCTTCGCAAGTATGGGCATTGCAGACTGTAGCTCTACTGGTTTATATAAAACAAAGGAAGAGAAAAGTAGCAGTTGGGACTGTTTAAAACAGCAATAACTATAGGTACTGTGAGCAATGAGCTCACTAAATGGCCTCCCATAATGTCGATGTGTTGCTTTATATTGTTTTACGGTAATGTGTAAAAAATAACTCGTCCTATGAAATGTTATCCAGAAGCTTCTATTATGTGACGTCATAGGTAAACAAAAAATGGCAATGTCCATGTTTTGCTCTGGGAAACCTAAAATACGTGTCGAATAAAAAAGTAAAATAGGAGGTGCACGATGGCAATATGTAATAAAGATTCTGTGAAAGTTTCATTAAATTTCACTCAGTAGTATATTGCGGATAGAAAAGCGTAACAGACGGACGGACGGAAATCCCGATCACTATATACCCTCCCGCTTTTCAAGCAGGGGGTATAAAAATGATCCTTGCCGCTAATCAAAATAAAAACAGATGCATAGAATTATGTATCTTAGTATTATAGTCTACTTGTGTGCCAAGTTATATTGAAATTGGACCAAAACTGTAGGAGGAGTAGCATTTTGAACGAATTTTACAGAAATTTCTATTTTTAGTAACCAAGGCAACACCGTTCATCGAAATCAAAAACAAATGCATAGAATCATGTATCTTAGTGTAGTCTACTTGTGTGCCAAGTTATATTGAAATTGGATCAAAACTGTAGGAGAATTAGCATTTTGAAAGCATTTCACAGAAAGGACAAGTGCACTTAAGCAATGCTTAATGGGCCCTTTTTATGTACCATTTTACTTTAGAATATATAACCAAATCGTTCTCTTTTGGAAATAGTTATATACTAGTGTATATTTCTAATTAAAAAGCACGATAATCATCACCCAAATCAGCATGGATTTGAAACAATTGGCTATTTTTAAATGCCTATATGGACACCTTAAAAATCCGGAAAAGTCGTACCGAACCGTCTTTTAGTTTCGTTTATGTAAATCAAGGCGAAGCGATCTTGAACAATCTGATGGTGGATCATAGTCGGGCGCGTTTGTGGAATGTAACTTTTTTGTGCTATATCTGTTTTAAAAAAATTGAAAGAAGTTGTGTAGTTGCCTGTAGCCATAATAATCAAACTAAGAAATCTGTACTCTTGCATTTGAAAAAATATATACAATAAAATGAATTTAAAATCTAAGAGGAGTGTTTAGGTGGCTTTCAATACCTGTTTCATTGTCTTGCATAAATGTTAAAATGTCTGACACTTTTATGAGTGGCGCTAAACTCTATTTACCCTACCGTAATCTTAAATATAGATACATAGAAATATTTCTAAGCGGCGCGAATTTGACTAAATGATAAAAAACCTGTCTATGTTTTACAGTGAGCACCTTTGAGGAATGTTTACCTGGGTAGAACTCACGTGACTTTCGGTATTTTAAATAATTTATTCCACAAGTGGGTTCAACATGGGTCATACAGGTAAATACCTCTCACTTGCTATAGGAAAAACATTGTACTTTTTGTACATTTTTAATATTTTAACTACCAGCCTAATCGTGTACAAATTTCCTACTTTCACACAAGTTTTGTAAATGTATTATGCGTTTTTTGTCATTTGCACAAGTTTGTACAAAGTTAGGCTCATAGTAAACAAAAGCTTTGAAATGAATGACCGTTCTCGATTTACTATAGAAAATCACAAATGTCGGTTGACCCCTGTCGCATTCTATGGTTTTGTTCTTTGTATATACGTGAATTTCAGCGGTAAAATTTGTTGAATCTTACGATTTAGATATCAATTAATGATTTGGGATGAAAATTTTTGCTTAATTTGAATGTTTATTTTTTCACATTTTACCGAGGCCCATAAGTGCACTCGTTCTTTCTATTTTTAGTAACCATGGCAGCAGCGTTCATCGAAATCAAAAACCGATGCACAGATTTATGTATCTTAGTGTAGTCTTCTTGTGCGCCAAGATATATTGAAATTGGACCAAAACTGCAGGAGGAGTAGTATTTTGAAGGAATTTCACAGAAATTTCTATTTTTAGTAACCACGGCAACACCGTTCATCGAAATCAAAAACCGATGCACAGAATTATGTATCTTAGTGTAGTCTACTTGTGTGCCAGGTGATATTGAAATTGGATTAAAACTGTAGGAGGAGTAGCATTTTGAAGAATTTCACAGAAATTTCTATCTTTAGTAACTACGGCAACACCGTTCATCGAAATCAAAAACCTTTGCACAGAATTATGTATCTTAGTGTAGTCTACTTGTGTGCCAAGTTATATTGAAATTGGATCAAAACTGTAGGAGGAGTAGCATTTTGAAAGAATTTCACAGAAATTTCTATTTCTAGTAACCACGGCAACACCGTTCATCGAAATCAAAAACCGATGCACAGAATTATGTATCTTAGTGTAGTCTACTTGTGTGCCAAGTTATATTGAAATTGGATCAAAACTGTAGGAGGAGTAGCATTTTGGAAAACTGTTTACAGACAGACGGACAGACAGACAGATGGACGGACGACGGACGCATTACTATCGCATAAGCTCTTCTGGTCTCTGACCAGTAGAGCTAAAAATCAACCCCAATTACGCAGAAAATGCCAAGCACTGAAGCAGAGGCGGCAAATTCCCAAATTTTCGTACTGGCGCAGGTTCTGACGTTTTTGTGGCACGTAAAATATCAAAATCGTGAAAAACCCTAGAAAAAGTCAGATATTTCAAACTACTCTCTGACATGCTTGTCTCAGTGGCTGAAATTTCTTTAGCACAGAGTTTTAGTTTTGTTGTTAATAAATACATATGATAATTAGTTTTTTAATTAACTACCTTTCACTCCCTAATTCTAGGCACATTATTTAACTAATCTGTATATTTTATCTATCTCCCAATCCTTTACAGTCGTCTCTTCAAGTGATAAACTCGATTGATTAAAATTATTTTTTAGATTGCTGGAAATTCACAGCGAGTTTATTGCCTGTAGAGACAACTATATATGGTTGGGATGTGGATAAAATACACATATTGGCTGCAGAATGTGTCTAGAATCACGGAGTGAAAGGTAGTTGATTGACCCATTCTAGAAAGTGGAGGAAATTTTCCCCATAAGTGCGCAAAAAATATTTCGCCATAAATTGCACCTTTTTTGCATTACGAGATCTGTAGCGTTATGGTCAAAGACAAATATATAAAACCATAACGCTACAGATCTGCAGCTATTAATAGCTACATAGGTAGAAATAGTCTTTCGACTGGTAACGGGTTCGTTCGCCCGATCTACCTGTTCGCAGGGGTCCGTTCGCGCAGAGTCCGTTCGCCCGAAATATTTTTCGCTTAATATCTTGTTCGCCCTATATGTGGTTCGCCCAATACTTATATATATAATTGTTTATATGAATTAAAAATAAACAATCAAGTTTATCATTTTTTCTTTTTATTTCCCTCACGAACTAGGATTTTTTTTACTCAAATTCTGATACGAAGAGCAATGTTTATTTAGTCTAAATGATTCTAATGTTTTTTGAATGACTAAGTGTTTGCACTGTTATAGTTAATTAGATGATGAATATAAATGTTAATTAGGGGGATACATTCTTGTTATTTTTACGAATTGTGCTATGTTTTGAAAACAATTTAAGGACTAAGACATTAATACGTGTGACCGTTGATACTAAAACAGATGTGACCATTTGTGACCATATGCATAACGTCTGCATGGTCTGACGGACACAGTGACGGTCTGTTTTATTTTGAATGTACAAAAAATTAGGAAAGAAATATATTAAATTTTATTCTACATTGAATTATGGCGAACGGACCCTGTGCGAACAAGTTTTAGGGCAAGCGGACTCTGGGCGAACAAGAAAACGGGCGAACTGGAACTCGGGCGAACAATTTTTAGGGCGAACGGACATGGAACCCTTTCAACTAGACCAGATAAAAGAGAAACCTGAGAATATTTAAACTTCCATGCCATTAATGCTGCGAAACTAAACATGTGGCAGAGTGAAATTTTAACTAAATCAAAAGCATCAGGTTTAACAGCAAACTTTTTTTTCATTTTAAAAACAAACTGGTCTGTTCAAATATCGTAATCAGATTACAACAGTGAATCTGGCCTTGTTTGGGGACCTTCGTATATCAACTACGTATTTATTTCCTTTTTCTATGAACAAACCTTTAGTGGGTTTGGTCGGAGTTTTGTCTTTGTATGTAGAACGTTGGGAAAGGTTCTCTTTTCCTTCTTGTAGTGGGGACAAGTTTTTAAGGTTTCTTCTTTTACTGACTTCCTCTCCCCTCAGTGTTTTCCATTCGATGGAACGCCGGCTAAGACGGGCATCTCTTTTTTGAAGAGATGATCCAGATTTTAATTTGTACGCCGCTGTAAATTCCGACGATTTACCCATCTTTTCCATCCTGATCTTTGAATTTGGCGCACCACCAGTGTAGTTTCAAAAATTATTGGTCGGAGTAAATTAGCGCCACCTAGGGTCGGGGATCTTATTTTCGAAAGGTCGAGCCCGAGCGATATTTACTTTTTTGCGCATCGTGGTGAAATATAAAATTGCAAAATCACGGGCTAATCAATTTGCATTCGAACATATTTCATTGCATTAAATATATACAATGGGATTGTGTACAAGTTCTAAAAACTTAAATCGCTCTACACGAAATATAAAACAAGACTGAATTAGACGTGTCCAATAGTTTGTAGAGAAAAAGTAGACTGCTACATTACTTATACAAATTATAAATATAAGAACAAGCAAATCTACCACTGTGTAACATTGGCGTCGAAAGCAAATTGAAAGTGGGAGGGGGGGGGGTAAGTGACAGAGAAAAAAATCAAACCCATAAAAAAACTGACAAGCAAAAACAAAAAGGGGGGGTGTGCCCGCTGTCCAAACTTGAAAATCCTATTTCGGGGGTTGGGGTGGTGGAGGGTGGGTGGGGGTGTTTGGAGTGGGGTGGGGGTGGAGGGGTAATTTGGATCGAACTTCTTTCAGTGCCAAAATTAGAAGGGGGTGCTTGACCTACGCCCCAGTGTTAGTTCAATGCCTGTATTAAGGTCAAGATCTAGTAAATGAAAGGTGCCTACAGATTTATTAAATTTGAGAAATTAATTCCTTTATTGATGCTTTACAACTTAAGCTTGGTCAAATAAGGTGTTTCGGGGCATAATTTGTAGATAAACAAGATGAAAAACTGTATTTTAAACTGTCATTTTTAAGAAAAATTAAGAAAACCAGTCATGAATATGGGAGTTTTTTTCGTATTCGGCAAAGGAAATATATCCAGATTGCCTACAGTCTTTCAGAAAACGGTAATTAGTATGTTCATGGCCTCTTCATTAAATCAATATCAAATTTAATATAGGTATCCGGTTTACTTTTCATATGATTTCAAATTGAATGACATGAAAATTCCCTACTTTCTACATAATTCTGCTAAAGCCATAAAGTACGGGAAAAAGAAAGTTGAAATTGATTATGACGTCATAATGGATCTAGCACCAAAAAATTAGTCTCAAGTTATTTACTAAATCTTGACCTTAAGTATATCTTTGCAAAAAGAGGGGGGCTAAGCCCCCCCCCCCCCCAGCCCCCCTCCCCGGTTCGGACGCCTATGCTGAATATAAGAATGTAGAGTAGGAAAGAGATATTCATTTTAATCAATTTAAGTGAACGCCTCATCTTATCTATTCGAAATTATAATTATATTTGAATCCGACCCTTGTGTCCATATAGCATAAAGAATAAAGAGATGGTCATTTAACATGTTTAATAATTACTTTACACTAACTTGCTAATACGATGTTTCAAGTCTGGTACAATACATATGATCATATGATTATATGATGATAAGAATATACAAACCATTATAGGTTGTTGATAATGAAAATTTTAATTTCCTATTGGTAATGATTTTGTCCGTGACTTTTATTTTATTTAACACTTTATCTAGACACCCTGTGTCCACGTGCACGTGTCTATAAATTTTCTCCATAATCGGATTTGGAAGACCAATGAGTGGGATATGGTGCGCCCACCCTCGATAATGATGCCAGCAGATACTTTTAAAATAAGAATAAGTTTATTTAATACAGTTGAGTTTCCTCGTGCGTCTTTAATAATAAGTAAAAATGCTGTTTTGTTTTGTTTTTTTTTTTTTCACTGGGGGGGGGGGGGGGGTGTCAAAAAATGTTTAGTTGCCAACACCCCTCCCTCCCGATCGGAAATGACCGGATTGCTTCCTACGGGCTATTATTCTATGAGTCTTGTAAAAAACAATTGAATTAAAATTCATTCCATTTATTTTTTTCAAATTGACTAGCGATCGTCTTGCATAAAGTGCTTTTCAATATACATGTATATTAGTATAGGATGCATGAGTAATAATAGCATCGCATGATCGTAAATGGTACTAACGATGATCTCAGGATAATCCAAGGATAAAGTTACAGAAACAGAATTTTTAAATTATTTTTTTGTGCCAAGTCCTTCAGTTACTGAAAAATACTAGAAGTCTTATGTACATTGTATATTGTTCATACTACAGTCAATCACCCTCCTTTTATACAAAGACTATATTGTCATTATACTTAAATTAACATGTAATACAATGATCTACTGTTATAACTCTAATCCAGAAGAAGCTAAAGACATGCATAAAAAGCCATGCTTCATATACTTATACTTCCTCGTGTTTTTACATTAAAAACAAGATAAGGCTGCAAAGTGGGAGACTGAATATCCAATAAAATAAATCATGGAATCGAGAAATATACATGTATTTTAAAATACATGTATTTAATATTATGTTGTAATTTTTATAAATTAAATACATATAGGTGGAGATTAATGCAAAATCTACAACAATTGTAAATTTTTCATTTTAAAAAATCAAAGCTTACAGCATTAGAGTACATAAGCTTTTTATCTTGATGAAGACTGGGAATATTACTTACTAGTATATAAAATAAGAGATTTTATTTTTGATGTTATTATGTAGATTTGTATCTGCAAAATGGACCCACCCCCAATTCACACCCGTTTCTTTTGTTTAAAAAGACATGACACGTTCCTGAATGATATACTGTATATAATTTTTTGTCATTGAAGTTTTGCTACTTTAATGTATTTACAAAAGCCCATTGAGCTCATTTTGGTAAATAAAAGAAATATATTTTTCACGTTATAACACAAAACTTTTGCGAATAAACGCGTAACTTTCGCGAATAAACGCGTAACTTTCGCGTTATAACGCGTAAATTTCGCGATATAACGCGAAACTTTTGCTGTTTTAGCAAGACATTTGCTTAAGTCTCAACTTTCTTTTGATTTTGTGATCAAGTTTATTTATTACAATGATATGCAAAAGGCTATTTTAAACTTGGAGTATCACAAGCTACAATTTTAAGTTTTCTTCCTATTGAATCCATCTTTACCGACATAGATGGTCTTTCTCAGCGCTGGTGAAACAATTCAAAGACTTATTATGCGAGTTTTCCAAAAGTTAAACTTCAATCCCTATTATTATAATCAAGATTATGAATTTCGGGGAAAATCAACCCTTTCCGGCGTCTTTTTATGCACTTTCTAGAGAATTTATTAAATAATTTTATTTTATAAAGAACAAAATCTCAGAATTGTGAAAATTGGATAGCAGATTTTCATTTGTCTCCGTTGGATTCACTGTAGAAATACGATATCGGAAAAATATTGACAATTAGTTCAAAGTGTACAAACCCTGCCGTATATACCTTAATTATACCTTTTGATTTATGGCCCTAGTCCACGAACTTCTCTATAATACCCCTCGGATAAATTTGTAATTAACAACATCCAATTATAATTGTTATTTAAACAGCATTATGTGGCCCGTCAAGCTCATGAAATGATACACTGTTTCTATAGGGTAAAAGTTTTCGTCCAAAATGATTGATTGCTTAATTTACTAGTGGTACAGCTGTAGCAAGTGTTACTGATTAAAAACAGCTTGAAAAAAGTGTCAAGTGCAGATTTTTCTTAAAAAATAATCAGTCTTAAGAATTTCTTGAGTTTAAAATTTGAAAAAACATGTACAAGAAAAAAAAATCATTTTATCAGTTGGTAAGGTTTTAAAATAGAAGAAAATATTCTGATGACTAATCTATCCTATTCTCGCATCATTTCTCCAGTACATCTTCTGAGGAAATGATATTTTATAAATAAGTTATTGAGAGTTCCCGTCTGTTTTCATGTTCTTATCTGTCAGTCAAGATCAAGGTTCCTGAGTAACATTATTATATATGCATATTATCTCGCGAAATAACGCGAAACTTTCGCGTTACATTGCGAAAATTACACGTTAATTCGCGAACGTTACGCGTTATATCGCGAAAGATTCGCGTTATAACGCGAAATTTACGCGTTTATTCGCGAATGTAACGCATTATAACGCGAAAGTTACGCGTTATATCGCGAAAGTTTCGCGTTATAACGCGAAAAATTTATTTTTTTAAATAAATGAGCTCAATGGGCTTTCGTACGTATTCCCCCCCCCCCCAAAAAAAAAACAAACAAACAAACAAAACAAAAAAACAAACAACAGGTACCTTACCTGGCATTTGTGCCAGAACCAGTGGATGATGTCTCCTTTATAATCTTTTCGGGAAAAAAAAACTAATTTGCCAATATCATCATATTTAATGTATAGTGGGGGTGGGGTGGGTGGGGGTATGATTGAACTTCTTTCACTACCTTCTTCTTCAAACGCTACCACTTACCCTTCTTTTATTACACTGAACTGTGCCTGTTGAAAGTGGTGGGACTCAACTCTAAATACACATGTATTCAATGTTGAATGTCGATCTTTGCAAAAAGGAAGGGGGGGGGGTATCGGCCGACCTTAAATTTCTTTGGTAAAAGTATTATTAAATCATGTCACAAAGTTATCTTGATAGTTGTGTAAGCTTCAAATTTAATTTCCTTAGTTGCAATTTATATATTTTTTTAATGAACACAAGTTCTATTAGAACAAAAAACAATCTGAGTATTGAACTCTTCTTTATTGTCAATATTAACTCTAGGTAACACTCGTTCATTGCATTTCATTTTATGGATTTCTTAGCCTATTTTAACTTTTCTTCAGCTGTATAAAGATGTTATCACAGTATACAACGAGCAAAGATGCTGAAACTGATCAACTGAAATTTTTACAAATCCATGAACATATGAACGAACAATGTTCAATTTTGTTGAAATAACTCCTAAAATGCGGTTTGATTTGATAATTACATAATGAGAGAGAGAGAGAGAGAGAGAGAGAGAGATGCTTCGATTTCTGCCTTATGATGTCATGAATCGTGACATTACTTAGTACATGTATTTCAGTCTTAAGAATTTCTTCAAAACTTAATATACTGACAGTTTACTTCAATACCACATTTACAAATGCAACTTTTATAAATGTATTTTGTGAAATTTCTATAAACTCCTATCCCATATATGTTATGCTTAGAATCATGGGTAGGCAGGTTGTGCTATAATACTTGATTTTTTTTTAGTTTCAAAAAGTTTGTTTTGGCTCACGTGATAAATGAAAACATTGAATACTCATTGATTAATAGAAATTTTTCCATCATGATTTTCGACCACAAATAATGATAAAAAGACAAGCAGATATAAAACCAACCAGATTTCTTTCATCCTCTGGGATCCTCTTTCACAATGTGTTACAAGCAATCGTAAAACAACACCAAAAAAGAGAAGAAAAAATATGACATTTATTCAGATGTGTAAAGATATATTGGACGCACAGAGGGAGGTTTTTCGCACTCTAAGTAAGCCTAGCGGAGTGTCCATGCGACAAACTTGGCAGACGATTGAGCATCTTATATCACACGAAGCAACAACCGTGAACAAATTGGCTTTACCTGTCAAAGAGTGACAGGGGTTTACATTTAATAGATATGCAATAACTTAATAACTATTTCCCTTTCTGATTTTTTTTTTATTTAAAGCTACACTTTAATTACACACTTAATAAACTCAAGATGATGCCAGTGGTTTAAGAAGGTTCTGAACATTACACACTGAAGAGTTCTAATTTTATGGCATTTTAATTACAGTAATAGGGTGATCTGCCTTAAGAAGTGAGACTGAATAAAGGGAAATATATGGTAAATGACAGAATTTGTAATCAGATAAAAGTATTCTATCATTATATAAGACCAAAACAAAGTAATGAAATATGTAAATAAATAAGTGATTTCTGTTTACTTATATACTTCATTGAAAGCAAATGCTATTTAAATACCTGCATAATTATACATGTATATATCACGTACCCCATTATCATCCCTTACACACGCACTTACCCTTATTCGTACTCCTAAAGTACAGCCTACTGAATGTTATGAATAACCCACAATGAAAATTCTACGAGATTGAATAAAATAATGTCTGTTTTGTAGTCTTCCTCTTGTTCTATATATTATGCACAACTGTATATCTACAGTGTATATATATGTATGTCCTTTTTTCTATCGTCAGCTTCCCTTATTTATGAAGAAGTATACCATTATCACATACACATTAAGTCTCTATGTCTTCCAGTTGACTCGATATCCAAGAGCATGCTCATTTAAAACGATGCAAGCTATTGACAAATAAGTTGATGACACAAAGATATCATTAGTTACGTTTAATAAATGTCAATCTATTGTCGATAATATAAGAGCATATATATTTCTTTAAAAAGGCTAATGTTAATTGAGTTTTTTTTATACAAACTATAGGCCAGCAATTTTGTACCGGATTGTCCAAGGATTTTTCCTTTTGTTCGATGATGACAAGTTGCACAGGTTGCGTGTAACCAGTCGACAAAAGATGCTTACTTTTCTATGTCATCTGATTCCATTACCCTCGATGTCACATGTGCATATATACTCGGCACTTATAACACTTTTCTTTATTCAAAGAAACATTTGTTAAGTTGTCAGCGTACAGACAGTGGGTAAATTTTAATGACAAAAATCTCACTTGAACAACTGGCTCAGGTAAGCTAAGGAAAACAAAAGACAGAAAACTTCAGCAATACTATTATTTTTCTTAAAATTGTTATAAAATGTGCTAAATAAATAACAGGCAACTATTACATAAGAACACAAACAATACACTGTATGAGCAATCTCATTTGTGAAGTACTAAGCTAAAGTTTATAAAAACTCATTTCCAATTTATTGAGTCAAGTTTTTATATTATGCAAAATTTCGCATGCAGGATACAAAACAAACACCATCAAAACAGAAGAGGGACGATTCTGTGAGGGACTTTTTGGCAGTATTCTATCCAGAAACTTCCGTACTTATCCCCGCATTTGTCGTCATCACGGTAACTGCGATGAATCAACAAGAATGTAAGAAATATGACGTAAGAATAGGGCATGACGTTTACAAACATGGCTGGAATAGTCCAGCAAAAAGCGAGCATAATCTCTGCTAAATAGTTGAAATGTCTGGCTAGACCCCACCAGCCTGAAGCTAATAGAATGCTTTCTTTCTCTTTGCCGTTTTCGAGTTGATATTTGGCACGAATGATGTTTGGTTTCTTTCCCCAGACTAGGCATTCTCCTCCAGTTCCTCTTACTTCTTGTTTCTGTAGATCTGCGAGGTAGTTCACTGCTATACATAGAATTCCCGCCAAAAGAATTAGAAGTGACCACGTGACTCCCAAACGAACGGGATGATTCACGAGATACATGCTTACTGACGCGTAAAAGTTTGGCACGAACACGAGGCAGCCCCAACATATGTAATAGCCAGCCCTGTCAACCATTATATCGATGGTGCTCATATATCCCCCCTCCCACCAAAAGAATTTGGTGATGTAGATCAACTGCAATGCAACTGATACGAACATACTGTCTACAAAACCATACAATTCAAAACTTTTCAAACCATGAATGCACACGAGCAATGCCCAAACGGTCATCCCAAAACGACAGTTGGTGAAAACTTTAACGTCAATACCAAAGACTCGCGGATACAGTTCGGTTCCCCAGTAAAAGTCAAATATGAAATTTCCAGAGACTCCATTATCCGTAGTAGAGGGCCAATATCGACCCTTCAGATAAAGAAACATACAAAATAATGGACTGAATATTTGGAGAGTAGCTATGAATTCATCAAATCGATCGAATATCACAGTTGGCGTGAGGCCCTGCATCTTCAGCAAAATAGTGATGATGAAAAAGGTTGTCATAGTAACGACGTAGTTCAGGAAACCATTATCAACATAAACTGGTATGTTGCCTTTCGGGGTCAAAGGACCTTTGATGATTTTTCCTGGAAGGAGCATCATCATAATTGCAGACCATATCAGGAATCCCAAAAACACACCAATGCTGAACTGGCTTGGTGGTCTCATGGTGGCCCAAATTTCCATCAAAGATGAAAAGAACGGTTTTCCTGAAAATCGACTGAAGAAAACGGAATAGCTTCCTCCGCAGTAAGTGGCTGTGTACCACATGATGAGCACGAGGTTTGGAGTGAAGAGCATCAGAAATAAAGGGACAACAGTCATGTTCCATAATGTCTTGGCCCGCTTCATCAACCCAATCTTCTCAAGCTGTTCATAACCCTCTTTGTATCCGTGGAATCCATGCGCTAGGACATCCTGTCTATTGGATTGTTCTCCTTTGGTCATTCCGTTCCGAGTACGAACAGTTGACATTGTCCCTGAAATTAAAAATAGAATTTTAAATAATGTAAAGTTTTGCCGGCTTCTATAAATATCTAGATAACCAGAGTCGAAGCCAAGCATAATTCAGCAATGCACAAGAGATAATGGAAAAGCATCGCACAGGAAGTTTGTTGACCTATGGAGCTATTTACTTAGGAAAATGGTTGTTTTTTATCGTTTGATTATATAGATGTCAGTATGCGAATATAACCTGAGCACTTATTTCCGAGAATTTTACAGAACGCCTCTAGCTTGATAATGCTAGGTTACCGTTTTACACAAAGAATTCTGTCCATCCAAATAGGAGAGATTTTAGATACAGTGAAATCATTTTAACCTTTGCATATTTTCAAAAATCTAATAGCTACTACTGGCGGATAAAACGGATTTCCTTTGAGGGATTAATTTGGTTTAGAGACAGTCCTTTAATTCAATGAACAAACACAGGCACATACTAAAGCATTATATTTCATATGAAAGAGTAAACAGCGTTTTCATCTACAGTGTATAATAAAGTCACTATAATTGTAGTCTAAAACACTTATACAGATAAACTATTATAACAATATTAAGCCTTAAAACAAGGAAGTACATATGACATGTGACATATTATTCAGTCAAACAAATTTGCAAATCGACTAATTGAAAGAAGAGAACCCGCTAACTTTGAAAATTTTTAACGAGTCAAATAATTTACCGTAATTTCTACATTTAACATTCTCTGTCCATATCATTAAAACATACCCGATTGTTAGAATTGTCGTTGTTCCTTTAGTCAACTTGATTTCTAAAAAGAAAAGAAAAAATCGTTTTACTGCGTCACAAGTCAATGACGTCATTATGTTTTAGCCACTACACTCCCCCTCGTTTTAATGAGATGAAAAATAAGAACTTGTATAAAATATTTATCATTAAAATATCATCTACCTCCCCTAAATCACCGTAAAAGAACCATCTTAAGGCATGAGGCAGTCATACTAACGTTTCCTTATATATGTCTACGTTTATGCGTTAAAATAAGACGTTTGATGTTCTTGTCCAATTCTAAGCCTTTGTCAAGATGTTACAGCTTTAACACAAAACGGAAACGGTATAACAGGTGAACAAGTATGTAAAGAATTCAAACCTAAGTTTTTCGCACTCTTACATGTCAAGGTAGTGTATTGTCCACGCGGCTGAATTGTCAGACGACAGCGGAGCATCTGATTTCATGAGAGCCAACAGCCGCGGACAACAAAGGTCTATACCTGTCACAGCAGGGCAGAGGCTTACGATTAAGATAGATACAATATTCTAAAATTCATGTCTTTATTGTCAATATTAACTTTAGGTAACACTACTCGTTCATTACATTTCATTTGATGGATTTCATCATTTTATATTATTAGCCCTATTAAATACCGATTGCTCTTGATTCTACCTCTACAAATAAAATATATACATTAATAATAACAAATCAACTGCCATCAGCCCCTACCGCAAAATGAATTTAAGTTCCTTTGAAATAGTTTTGCATATCCTCTCTCAACTTTATACATTTCACTGTTAATCAATTCTTGTTTGCACTTACGGGTAAAAGAAAGCTGTGCTGTCACAGATCCGGACAGGTACATACACACATTACTTATACATGCATCAGATTTTATATATCACTGTAGTGTATATATATAATGTCAGACGCAAACGCCATGGGCAATTTTCCGGGACTATCACAGATGCCAGGAGACGAGGTGCTAATTGTATGTCCTTTGGGTACGGAACAATCCCTACATATTCCAATAATTAGACTTAACAGTGACAACTGTGAAATAATGAGGATGTTGACACATGGAGATCGGGCCTCTCAAGGAAAAATTGAAGACACATGCCTCCTAACCCAGATTAACTCCACGACCGAAATAGTTTCAGTGTAAAATGTGAAGATGTTGTAAATGCTAAATGCTCTGGCATATATATAATACAGAACGCCGCGAAATGTAATGGTCATTTCTAGCTAAAAAAATTTATCTCCATGTTTCAGTATATGTCCCCATTCAACATGTCCTGCCTTATCACTTTTATGCAAATATAATATCTATATACGCCACCGGTATATGAGTATATTTGTTCCAATTCTTTAAGCAGTCCCCAGTCTTGAAGAGAACAGAGTCTTTACAAGTTGTTCTGATGGTAATTTCATTATTAAAGTAAATTTATCAATTCAGTACAAATGCATATATCGACTGACGATGGATATATTAAGGGAAAAAATTCTAACTTGTACGTACTGTGCTATACTCCATACATAAAATTTAATGCAAGTAGGAAAAGCATATAACGCTTAACTGATAGAGTTTTATCTTTTGGCATCTCTTCAGAAAACATCTTGCAGTGCCAAAGGATTTTTTTTAAGAATGCAGATCGTAGTGACATATAATTTTTTTCTTTGCAAAAAAGAGAAGTATGTATAGATGGCGGTTCTTACCTTGGAGAACGTGCGGCTTAATTCCCGTCACAACTGCTTATTGATTTTCACTCTGATTCATCACACAAGGTCAAAGGTCATCTGCGAACTCCGAGACGTACGAAAATGCAAACGATTTACATTACTACAACAAAAATAAACATCTTTATGATAAGTATATCGTCTGCAGTGCTATGAAAGAGGAATTAGTGCTACTATTTCACGATATATGAACCGCTCTCGCAGGCCAGTTGATGACAGCTAAGCTCAAGTTTGATTAGTACAATTATTTGGCCATTTTGTGCTGTTTCAAAGCAAATGTTCCACTTCTGTGTGAGTCACACATGTTTCATGTATTCAACGTATGGTTTCAATCGATAGTAGATTGACAAGAACTAAAATTTGGTTAGGATCGAAATGTATTTTTCATTTCACCTTATCTTTTTCAGATACAAAAATGCATGGTTTTGGAAGCTGGCAAACAGCACAAGCAATTACTAGTAGCAAAGGATTAATTTAGTAAGTCCACCATTGCCCCCCCTCCCTCCGCGCCCCGGTCCAAAAATGAAAGGAGAACCATAAAGTCCGTAGGCATGTTTCACAAAAAATTTATATAAGTATACACTCCATGTATTGTAGTGCAAATTAACTTATCAACACAATTTATCATTTTCTTCACACAAGAACGCGCCTATTACATCTGCATTGCGTTTGCTAAAACAACGACAATATACATGTACCGCTTTACCTCTTACTCTAAGAAACTCTGAATTTTGATAAGATGTAATAAATTTGAGACTAACCTTGGGCGCTTGTGATATATCAAGTACAAGTATATATTCATATATTCAGGAGAGAAAATGTGAGGTTAATAGGTTACATCATATAGGAAAATGAAAAGCTTGCAGAAAAACGTAATCCTAATCCTTTAGTTCATCAGCCCTTAGTTAACATTCACTCTCAGTACAAACCAGACGAGGGTCACCGCATGATAAATTTTAGATTATTTATAGTGACAATATTTTCTTTGGGTCTGTTATGGACCTATTTTTTAAAATATCTTTTCTAAAGTTTATCTACATGCTTAAGTCAAATTTAAATAACATATTTTCATCCTTATCCCACCCCTTTTCTTTTTTAGATCTATACATCGTCGGAAACTCAAAGGTAATAAATTTGGCGTGTTTTATTTGGGAATTTTATTTAATAGTGTTAAAGAGGATAATCTTTTGAAAAAATTAAGTCCAACAATCGCGCTAAGTTTTTAAGTGTTTTAATACCTTATCAAGACTGTAACGCGGGTCTCGTGTCACACAGTGTGTGCATATATATAAATAATTAAATACTAGTATGTACAACTGAATTCAGAACTTTCACTCTTTCAGCATCGCTTCATACGGTGGTATATACGTCTAGGACAAGTGATTTTTTTTTTAAAGATGCCAGGAAAAAGTTATCTCGTGAAAACGAAAAATCTCTTAAAGAGGAGATAATATCTCGTGAAAACGACATATCATCTCGTGAAAAAGATAAATTATCTTGTGAAAACAAGATATTATCTCGTGAAAACGACTATCTCGTGAAAATGACTTATCATTTCGTGAAATTATATACACTGTATCGTTTTCACAAAATAATATCTCGTTTTTCACGAGATAAGTTCTCGTTTTCACGAGATATGTTGTATTCACGAGATAATATGTCGTTTTCCCGAGATATTATCTCGTTTTCACGAAATAATATTGTTTTCTCGACACCATTTCTCGTTTTCACGAGATAATTTGTCATTTTCACGAGATAATATGTCGTTGTCATTACATAATTTCCGTTTTCACGAGATAAATTCTCGTTTTCACGGGATAATTTCACGTTTTTGCTAGATAATTTTTGTTTTCACGAGATAATTTTTTCCTGGTATCTTTCAAAAAAAAGTATGTGTCCCAGGGGCGGATCCAGCCATTTTTGAAAGGGGGGGGGGGGTCCAGGCTTGTGTCCCTCTACTCTCCCCCCATACACACTCTCAAGCAAAGATTCGCACACACGTATGGTATGGAAAGATCTAAGGTTGTGGTAAATAATAACTTTGTTTGCGTCCCTTTTTTCTTTGAGAAGGTACCCCCAGTCCGAATAAAAAAAATCAAACACGTTTCAAAAAATACTGAAGCCTTGAAATTGAATGGATTTGCAGTATTTCCGAAGAGTACAAAGATTCTCATTTAGAATTTGAAAAACTTTTTTGGGTGGGATGCGGGTGGGGTTTATAATAAAGCATTGCATGTTAGTTCCTTCAAAAGATATGATAAAAAAAACGGTACATATATAGCCAACACGGCCAAAGATCGCGGAAATATCAAATTAATGTTATATATCATATATAAGATATATAAAAATAAGTAGACTATATTCTGCCATTCACTTATAAAAAAGTAATAGTGAAGGTGAATGGAGGAAACTAAATGTGTGAGAATCTATCTATAGTATCTTCAATACATAAGTTAGACGTACAAATATTTATTCTCGGAAAATGTTTTATCTTCTCTCTCTCTCTCTCTCTCTCACCACTTGGCCAAAAATAAAGGGGGGTTCCAACCCCCGGAACCCCCCTCTGGATCCGCAAATGTGTCCTAAATGCATCACCGTAGCTTTAAGATACATAATGTTCCTATGATATTTAAATATTTTACCCCAGTATATATATATAATATGCCAGTCTTCAATTTACTTGTTCACGTTTATTTACACTTTTACCGAGTACCCGGGTACTCGATCGGAAAAACGTCCGAGTAACCGAGTATTAAAAATGGACCGATTTGACATCCCTAATATATATATATATATATATATATAACTAATTGTTTAATCGTGATCGAACAAAGAGACAAAATGGAAGCCAAGACGAAATAGGATTCGGACTTTATTTTAAGGAGACACGAACTACGTTATACAATATATATATAATTATACTAGTATATATATGCAGTTCTCCAGTTAGCTGACATATGTTACATTGAATATGTTATATATAATGGGATTAATGATTGATATTTCCCCCCATTATTTATATTGGCATTCTATCATCCATGCATGCTTTGTCATAGCTATAAATATGTTGATATTTTTTCTTAAGAATGTATTGATATACAATATTCTTAGAATTTCTTGTCTATATCGTTTATTGACCGCTTCCATCTGTGACTGTTTTGTTTTTGTTTTTCTCTTTACTTTTATAAGATTTTTAAATTGTTTGTATGAACAGTCAATCATTGATAAATATCGCTAGATGACATAAAATCGTAGTCTAATAATAATAATAATAAAAAAAGAATACATATCCCAGATTTGCCAAAGGAAGGATGAGGGGACGTAAGATTTGGATGCAGTGTCCTCTATAAAAATTTGAATTTTTCTATTATTAGGACAATTCCAAGTTTAGCTTGGACTTTCAGTAAGGCGTGGTAGTGGGATACAACGTAAACAAACCGGAGTGGCATACTTTCTCTCTTATTGAGGGGTATTTTGGGGGTTTTACGATTTTTTCCCTATTGTACACATGACGAATAAGTGTAATAAATATAATTTGTAAAAAAACAAATGTCCAACAAGCCCCGGGATTGACTATCGGGGGGGGGGGGGGGTGGGGCTGTCTACAAGTACCTGTGCCCGTGCTAATGTCGTTAGGCCCCTAAGAATCATAAGCAAAGTTTTTTTTTAAAAATGTATGTGCCTCATGCACAGGGGATTGCTCTCGGTGTGTGATAAATATTTATTAAAAAATCTTAAACGGTATTACTAAAACACTGTTAATTGTAAGCATTATCGTAAATGATTTTTTAATAAATTCTGTAAAATCATATTTTCATGGGGTCAAATTTTCGTGGTTTGAGAAAAATATGAGTCCTTGGGGATTTAATTTCGTAGATTTAGAATTGTTGAACAGAATATCCATGAAAAAATTCAGTTCATTGTGGACATAAATTCGTGGGTCTCTTCATACCTCAAAAACCACGAGATTAAACCCCCACGAAAAATAATGATGTCACAGTAATTATTACACACGGGAGCATGCCCCCTGTTCCTCATGTAAAAGTCAACCTTCGGAGTTGAAACCCCTTAAGATACAAAACCGAAATCCCACATGTGCCCCTTTACAGGATGACCTTCCCCACTAAACTCAATGAAGTAAGTAATTTTTTTTTTAGATTTCCAATTTTGACATTTGTGAGAGTTGATGCGGAAACCTCCCTTGGAGAAAAAATCCCCGGATCCGTACCTGAATATGTTGGCTATGATCGATACTGATCGATGGATCACTATTCAATACTGTTGATAATATTGAGTAAAATAAGATCAAATAAAAGTTTTCAAACCCAAACATGATTTTAAATATTGACGTAATACTGAGTAAAATCAATGTAAAGGCGAAGGTACACACTGCTGGATTAATTCATAATTTTACTCGATGTCAGTCTAGCACAAAACCTAAAAGGCTATATAGAACTAGTATGTTTGTTAATTCACTAATTAAGGGCCCTTGGAAAATAAAGTAAAAGATGAAGATGAGAAACGGAGTTTAATTTCAAAAATCCATGAAAATACGTGCTGTGAGTACAGTAAAAATCGGTTAAAACGAAGTAATTGGGACCTATGAAATTACTTCGCTATATCCGTAATTACTAATAAGTTATATCCATATAAGGAATTCGTTAAATTTATATAGCTGGGGATCCAAGATAGCTTCACTATGTCCGTGAATTCGCAATACAATATGTATCCGTGTTCGTACTAAACGAGTTTTACTGTATATAAGGTAAAACACGGACTCCTTGGAAACAGGTGCCCAAGAGAAGCTAGCATCCCTTGTCAACTGGCCACATCGTGAACCCTTAATACTGAACAGGTAACGGACTTATCCGTCCTCAGTTTGCCTAAACGTAGCCTAACAATTCATGGGAAGGATGCCATTCGAAATAACACCCCCCCCCCCCATCAACGATAGGTTCTTGCAAATACATGTAATGTCATTAAAACGACTGTAGACTTTGCAAAATGGGAATTTTACACGAAATTAAGTTCTGTTCGTTTTCTCATTTGTTAGTAGTTTGTTTCTCTGTTAAAATTTATCATATCTAGAACATATGTAAGTATTGGATCATGTTATTTGGGAGGCACAATCAGGTGATTGTATAATAGAATATTATCATATTATCTTATCTTATCTTAAACAAATTTGACGAAGAGAAAGCTGATCATGAAGTCATCCAATATGTCAGTTTAATCTGGACATAAGCAGAATATCCAAGTATGAAGCATGTGTGGCAAACTCCATCGTCTCAAGCCACGGTCCGGAGTCCGCATATAGCTCTCCAGAATGGGAGAGGATCCTAGATTTTGGCCGTGGTTTGCGACGATGGGCAAATTCGGCTTTATTTTGAGTTCACTTTGGTTGATATATGAATGAAAATAGATATTTTAATGATAAACGTCGTCGATAAATTTATATCGAAATAAAACAAGGCAAGTTTTCTTCTTCTTATGCAGAAGTCGTCGTTTTAATATTTACATGTACATTTTCAATTTGAAGTTTAAGAATGAATACAGGATAAATATCATTTTCAACTTCAAATTGAAAAATTAATAAACAAAAAAGATTTTTAATTCTGCTTCATGTGTCGGATAATAAAGAGCACAACTGGCGCCCATCGGAATTCCTAATGATTATTTTCAGAAGACCTAATCTTTAATTCAAAGGCTACATAGATATTTTCAATGTAAAACTCCAGCATCTTATTAATATTTTCATTGTACGTACTTATGTGTGTGGGTTACCATAATGATTTTTGCCAAAGATTGGAGATAACCAGTCGCAAGATATAAACTTTTACAAATTCCATACGTTACATTGATAAACAACATGTTCAGGTCTATTAACTGAAAGATTGTGAACTAATTCTTGCAAATGACGTAAGCATCGGAAGCAAATAGAAAGGGGGGGGGCTAAACCAACCAAAAACAAACGTTTGGGACTAAGCCCAATTATCAATGCCTATATTATCCTATGCCTATCTCTGCAAAATGTGGGGAGATTTCACCGCTTAGACCCCTTCCCCCAGTTCCGATGCCTATGAATAACTTCTTTGGAAAATGACACGGGCACTGGAAGTTAATGTAAATATATAGTATGCACATACTATATTATTTACATTAACTTCCAGTGCCCGTGGAAAATGACACGAATAAATAGTAAATTGATAGATAGTCCGAAATATAGATGTTCAATTTAAAAAAAAAACAATTTTGATATTTTACATGCCAGGAATTCGGTTCGCAAATATCGTTAAAAAATCCCGAAAAACATCATATATTTTGGACTAGTTCATAGAATGTAATGCGTGTCCCCACAGAAAAAAAGGCGTTCTGACTGAATATCAATCGGGATCGAAATTCACATTATAGTTAATAACCGGAAACACATGTCAGAAGTAAACATTTTGTCATTTTAGTTTTTACTTTTGATGATTTTCACTTTAGAATCTTTAAAATGCCTAAAGAACGGGTGTCAAAGAAATCAAGAGTACATCAAGATGTTCAAAAACAAGGTAATGGATTGTTTCATTGATTACTTAGTAATAGAAGCAGTGTATCTGTTGGCATTGAAGTAACGTTGACACTGGTCCAGCACAAGCTCTTGATCTGTTGATTAAGTATATAGCTTTTCAAAGCTATATAAGCTATTCAAAAAGCTTGATAGAGCTATTTATGTATAGTTTTCACAAAAACATTTTCTGTAAGAAATAAACAAAAAGTCGCAAGTATTTGACTATTCATATATGTACTGTGGACTAGACTATCAAAAATACAACTCAGATCATAGATAGTTCTAACATTGCAGCTGTTGAATACTTTTAAGCAAAAGATGAATTTCCATTGTTTGAGTAACTGGACACTACCCTGTGTGCGCTGAGGCATCGATAAATATGATTGCTTCTCATTGTGCTGAACTGTTTACTGAACCAGGGACCTATATACTAACAGGATAGGTAAATCCTTCCGTGCCATGTTTATTTACCCCAAAACATCACGCACAACACTTCATGTTTTTCAAACTATGTTTATTCCCAGTAAAAAGCCTGTTTTCTGATTAATGTCATTTTATTTCTTTTATCTATTGGAATGGATTTTTGATAATTTTTTAAGCATAAAGTATAATATAATTTAAATATAAAGCAAACAAACACGGAAATCAGCGATTTCTCAGAAATATGGCCGATCAGGGGCATGTGCTGATTTTGAATAAAACAAAATTACTACTTAGGTGTGATAAAATAGCTTAATCAAGCTATTTTGAATAGCTTAATAAAGCTATACAATGTATAGCTAAATCAAGCTATATAGCTTAATCAAGAGATTGTGCCAGACCTGCTAGCTATATAGTAGTAGTACAGTACATTTCATCTCTGAAGTGCAGCAGGCCTAAATCAGTCTCCACAAATTCGCTGAGATTATTAAGGGCTTAAGAGCCAGGGACATATATTCTAGTTTATAGTTTCTGTTATCCAAATACATGCTAGGTCATCAATTCACTTGCTGGGGCATATACATGTATACTAACACCTATAATAAAAATATATTTTTTGTTTGTCATTTTTTTTAGGTAAGTTAAAATTTTTTTCTCAGGTTTCCCCCCTCCCTCTTTTCAAAAATGATGCTATGTTACTGCAATGGACAAGTTCATTGGTTGGGGAACTTGTGACAAAGGTTAACCCTTCTTCAGTAACATTTTCTCTGGGTTAGAACAATTTCACATGTATTTTTACTCAGGTCCAAAAGGGGCTCATTAGTAATTTAACTACCCCCAATAAGCTATCATCATATTCTCCAATAATGAATGGAACATGTTAAATTGAGTGCAGTTGCATTCTAGTACAAATATATTATTCAAAAGAAGTAGTTGAAACTCTTCCTAACAATATTTGACCTCAGCCTAGAGTACCGCTTAACCACACCCCAGGGGTGCCAAATGCTCAACCAGACTGCCAGCATTGTCAGTCCAATAAGACTGCTAGCTGCAGAACTGTAGAGTTATGGTTTCATTTGTAAGTCTAACTCTTTTACCTGTACCATAATGCTATAGATCCAGCATGGGTCAATCTACTATTTTTTAATCCCTTATTCTAGACACATTCTTTAACCAATTTGTATATTTTATCCACCTCCTAACCCATTAATATTGTCTCTACAGACCAATAAACTCTCTTATTTTGAATTTTCTACCATCCGACAAAAATTCAAAACAAGGGAGTTTATTAAATCAAACTGACCACGACAATGACATTTCAAACCTGAACATCAACAAAAGATGAGAAGAATAATGAGAAATAACCACAATTACACGTGAAACACAAAAGCGAAAATGGAAATTTATTGTGACAATGGGCTCCTTACACTTTGTGATTTTATTTACATTTAAAAAAATCCTATTTCATAATATTGATTGGGAAGGGATTGGAAAGAGGAGTGGAAGAGGGGGGTTCTTCCTGTGTTTGTATCAGTATAGCTGTGTAATAATCATTGCTATTCGGTTACCTTCACTGTATGGTAAATAACTTAATATGTTAATTTGTTTATAAGCGTACAAATAAACATTTCTCTATTTTCCTTACCGTTAGACTTAATGATCTATGGTTTCACTACTACGATTGATTGGTTTTAACACACTTAATTGATAGCTTTGATTGCCAAGGTAATACACAAGTTATAATTACCTCATTAAATAATTTAACAAGATGCCGCCAAATATGTATAGCTTGGAAGTATTCTAAAAGAACAGCTGATTCCATATCTGTAAAATGTAATTAATGTGAATTGGTGTTATCGTGACTTCAAATTTATAAATAATTATTCTCCTTGATCGTGACATATATCGGGGTTGAAAAGTAAATCTGATGAACGCCATTGTAAAATAGCGTGAAACATTTAATGTTTATTTTTCTTCTTATTTAATTAATTTTTGATGATAATTATATTTAAAATTCAAGATATTGCATGCGTATTCTTTTTAACTTTATAAATAAAGTTAATTCACAATACCTTCGTGTTTTATTAGAACCGATGAGTAAAAGATGAGATAAATGATACATTTGAATAAATCATCCGAGTAACCGGGTACTCGATCGGAAGATTGAGCGAGTAACCGGTTACTAAAAATCGTCCGATTTGCCAACACTAATCAGTATAGCTGTGTAATAATCACTTACCCTTCAGTGTATGATTTTTTTACTTTTCAGGAATTAATTTTAACAAAGAATTTGGTCAACACATCCTGAAAAATCCCTTGGTTGTGAATAGTATGATAGAGAAGGTAAGTGCATAGTAAGACTTACAATAAATCAAAAGTGATTCATTATTTAAAAAAAAAGAATGAATTTAAGAAACAGTGGAATCATTGTTTTTTTAAGGAATAGTTTAAGACTATTAGAATGAAATTCAATGAATGCTTATATCTGATGCAGCCTTGACAAACCAGAAAGATAAAATTATACCCTTGGACAATGCCTGATGCAGTCTGCCACTGTCTGAAGAGATTAGAAGTGACTATGCACTTAAAATGAACATAAACCTGAAGGAAGAGATTATAAGTGTATTAGGGCTATACACTCTCAAGCTGTATTTGAGATTTGCCCAAGTTTATCCTTGTGAGGGGAACACCAGAGTGCCTTTAAGACTGTTCTGCCTACAAGTACAGCATAATTTAGTTACCGTATAAGAAATAAAGTAATTCAAATATACAAACTATGAACAGCAAGTTTTAGTCTTTTAAATACAAACTAAGTATTGTTTGGGTATCTTAGCAATTTATATAATATGATATTATCTCAGTATTACCAGTTAAATGTTGATGAGAATGAAGGAGGGGGTGGGTGTTGTTAATTAATGTTTGCAGTAGTGGTAAGATAAATTTGATAAAGGCATAAAATGGAAATGGACTGCATTTTCTTTTCACATGGCAGAATAGGATTTATACAGAGGATAATTAGTGTTAAATAGTTGGATATGGAATTTTCTTCACAAGTTGGACAGGATTTTATGAAATTTTCATGACCTGAGTGCAGAGCACAAATGGAAAATAAAAAGAAAAATCCTGTGCCACCTGTGAAATAAATTCTATTAGAGTTCAATTACAAAATGTTAAATTTTCTATTTATTTCATTTTTTAAAATTCATTACTTTTGCCTCTGTCTTTTTGTACCACACTGTCAGAGGCTATGATGTCAAGATGTCATACCCTCTTAGCAATTGTGAGATTGAATACGTTACAAAAACATGGATTTCAACAAAGTATTTGGAGAAACCTTGACAGTTTTAACAACACTCGTGATGATGGGAAGGAAAATCTCCAATTTTGTTGCATTTCTGATATTATTTTGCAATGTGACAAAATATTATTTTGATATACTTTCACACTTAGGACTAAGGTTTTGACCTATTGTTTCATTGAGAGTAATAAGACCTTCTTTTCTTTTTGGCAATCTTTCTATTTAAGGGTTTAAACTTCTTATTTCTATTATCTCTTTCTATAATTTGCTGTTAAAATGAACTTCCTATTTTGGCCCAGAAAAGTAATAATTATTGATTTATCTGAAATCAAAGTTCGTGTGAGGGAACTTTCCCTTAAAACAGGCACACTCCTTGGATTAATCTGATTAAGAAAGATTTACCTTCAATTGTTTAAGATGTCAATATACAGTTGTTAAATTTTTCTTCAAGCTTGTTCAGAAGTTTGATGAGAGAATGGAGTAGGATTTCGTGTTTCATTTTCTTGTGTTATATCCTAGAAGCAGAACTGAAGTGCATTTCAATCGTGACAGGATGTAATAGTTCTGGGTTCTCTTCATCATAAATAAAGATTTACAAGACTTATCATATTGATTAGAACTATAGCGTGGATAGAAACACAATAATCCCCCCAGAATATATTGGTGACATGAGAGTTTTGAGGAAACTTAAGGGATTTTTAAACAAATCCATAGAAATCAATGATAGATTTTTCCTCCATAATGCCAAGAAATTTTGTAGTTTATAATGATGAAACAATTCTGTTTCATTTATTTGGAACACCAATATTTTTTTTTTCAATTTGGTAAAATTCAATCATAAATTTAGATTGAAATGATCAAGAAATTTTAATTACAAATTTTACTAATGTTAAAATAATATGAGATGCTGTCAGTGAATTAAAAGTCTCAGCAAAATTGTATTCAAAGACTTGCCTAAAATCACATAATTAATTCTCAGGATAGTGAGTAAAGCCACAATATTTAGACAGGAACTTTGTCACGTAAATTTAAAATAACAGATCAGTCACCTGCATGGCGCAGTGGTTAGAGCATCTGCTCAAGAGTCAGAGTAAGGAGTTGATCCTTTATATGTAGCAGGTTCAAATCCCACTGTGAGATGTAGAGAACAGTCCTTCGGAAGAACCCTATAAAACAATGTCCCATTTCACAGAAGGTGTTGGGAAGTAAAAGATCCCTTGCTGATCAGTGGCCCTGAGTGTTGAGTGAAGGTCTAAATTTGTATCCCTCCACCAGCAAGTGGAGATCTCCATATGATTGAAAAATTCTCAAGAGGGAGGTTTAACAACGGACTATTTTTAATTAATTTTTATGCTTAGGGTAAATATTTTCATTCTAATAAAAGAACATTTATTTATTATATCACAGCAGAAGTTTTTTTTTATCTCTAAAAGTGTGAAAACATGTTCCAAGTATAAAATTGTGACTGTAAATAAGATGCACATATAAGTAATTGCTATTAGTTTCTTTTTTACTTCCTCTATTTCTTATGCCAATAGAACAGAAACATTCATTTTAAATATCTCCTTAATCAGTGTATTCATTTTCTTATGGTGATTGATACATCTTGGAAATTTATTTGTCAAATAGGTTTTTTATTTTTTTATCATTTTTCAAGGAAAAAATGAGACATTCCACTCAGAGTGCAGGGAAATCAATCAAAACCTTGTGGTTTCCATGACAACAACTCGGGATATCAAATTGTGCCTATATTTGCAGAAGTTGATTGTATGTATGAGATTGGATTTCTTATACGCAGAGATGCCATTCTAGAAAAATGCCATAAAATGAGCTCATTACGAATTCTGCTCTGTTCATGAACAAAAAGATCAATAGCGTCACAGCCCATAGGGAATCCCTCGTCCAAGTTAGAGTCTATAATGATAATGCTTTTAATGGGAGAGACTGGACCCCATTTGTTCCCTGGGAACGTGCTTTAAATGAGGAGCATATTGTTCCGTCAGCTGATGTTTATTGAGCTTTGAATGAGCTTTGGATGATGATCATCAACAGTTTTCTTTCTTTATTTCCGAAGTAATTTCATGAAGAGCAGCAATTACTAAAGGCATTAAATTAATTCAATGTTTATTAATTTTTCAAATACTTAATGGACTATTAGAACTGATTTCTTTCTAAGTTATTATATTGGGTAAGGTTTAGGTATGGTTTGTCATTAAAATGAACAGTTAATCTGTGATGTAGATTCTCCTTTAATTAATATTTATAACAGTTTTATACATTGAATGAGAATCATTATTAAATGTGTGCTTGTGGCTCTTGTGTACGGAAGCCCATTAGTGCCAACCTGTATATGTAAAGGAAAAGCGATATATAAAAGCAAACCTCTATATATAAAGGAAATGCGATATATATAAAGAAAACCTCGATATATATAAAGGAAATGCGATATATATAAAGAAAACCTCGATATATTAAAGGAAATGCGATATATATAAACAAAACTTCGATATATATAAAGAGAAAAAATTCCATCGCCTGACCTTTAACATGTTTAATGACCTTCATTACAACAGAGACTTCGCTAACATATGATAAGCAGCTCCCGGTCCAATGTTTTGATTGCAATCAGTTGATGTGGCTGTTTCATGACGGTATTCAGCGTGTTTCCTTCATTTGTGTATCTTGATAATTATGACGATTAAAACTAAAGCTAAAAGAACTGCTGCTCTTCTTACATTTCAGACGTGTTGGGCAGAATAACACCAATAAGAAACTTTTCTGCTTAAAATGTATATTACATTGCACTTAATGTTGGGGGCAGGCTTGGGGTCAATTACTTTGAAATGTAATTAATTACTTTCAAATACATTGATAATTTTGTCAATTACTTGCAATTACAATTACATTGATTTTTTCAAATGTAATTAATTACTTTCAATTACTTTGAGAAATGTAATTAAATACATTTCAATTACTTCGAGTTTTATTTTTATAAAAAAAAAAAATAAAGATTTTTTTAAAAATAAGATTTCATAGCAATCGAATTCGAACTTTCATTCAGTGTTTTTGTTCTTGGGTATGATAGGGGTTTACACCTGGTCAAAATTAGACCTTTACCTTATAATGAGTGTGACACACTGTATAAACAAATTAAACATTATGAGACAATTAATTATTGTACAAACACAAGCCCATGCTACACCAGTATGGTGTATGGCAAGATCTTTTTTGTTACTTTCTCAAATCCATATTTTTGAAGGAAATAAATAATATCTATCACAATTCCATTCATTATTTTTTATCTTAAAATGAATAGAATACAGATAAATCTAAAAGGGGATATAGTTAGTCTAATTGCTGTAAAACAAATTAACTATCTAAACAATCATAATGTTATTTGCAAGTGGGAATAGGGAGAACTGAGATTTATAAAACATGGGAATAAGTAATATAAACCCACCAGTATAAAACTAGGTATCAGTATGAGACACCTTTTTAAATATAAACTTTCATTTTGAAAAAAGTAATTGAAATGTAATTGAAAAGTAATTGAAAATACATGACCTTTTTTGAAATGTATTTAAATACATTCAATTACTTGTAATTGAAAGCTTGCTCAAATACAAATTACTTCCAATTACTTTGAAAAATGTAATTAATTACACTCAATTACAATTACTTTATTAAATTACCCCATCCCTGGTTGGGGGTCTTTTTCAATCGAAATATAATTCAGTGCAAAATACAAGTGTTTTATCTTGTTTTATAAGTTCTTTAAGGTCAAGATCTAGTAAATGAAAGGTGCCTACAGATTTATCAAATTTGGGAAATAAATTCCTTTATTGATGCTTTACAACTTTAGCTTGGTCAAATAGGGTGTTTCGGGGCATAATTTGTAGGTAAACAAGATGAAAAACTGTATTTTAAACTGTCATTTTCAATGAAAAATTAAGAAAACCAGTCATGAATATGGAAGTTTTTTCTTATTTGACAAAGGAAATGTATCCAGATTGCCTACAGTCTTTCAGAAAACGGTAATTAGTATGTTAATGGCCTCTTCTTTAAATCAATATCAAATGTAATATAGGTATCCGGTTTACTTTTCATATGATTTCAAATTGAAAGTCATGAAAATACCCTATTTTCTACATAATTCTGCTAAAGCCGTAAAGTACGGGAAAAGGAAAGTTGAAATTGATTATGACGTCGTAATTGATCTAGCACCAAAAAATTAGTCTTAAGTTATTTACTAGATCTTGACCTTAACGTTTTACTATGTTTTTTTACATAATTAATGGAGGATTTCAAATCGAATTAATTTACGACGTGGGACAAAAATCCGCAGTTTAATTATGTAAGTGTGCATGCACTAACTCGTTTCTTTTTATTTATTCACAAATACTTGATTTTTTCATACCAAAAGACCTTAAATTATTACGGTAATATACATGTCGCTTTCTTCCCTTATATTCAAATGAAGTGGATACCTCCATCTCTCCCATTCCGATTCTTTTTTTTATATACATATATAATCAATGGGCATACTAGTAAATTATTTTTTATAATGAGTTTAAATATAAATTTGAACTAGGGCATTAAAAGAATTGTTAAGACTCCACGTTTAACATTATTTTCATAAATTCTCGGTTGTGAAACCAAAGGTATTAAGTTTGGTAAACACACACACACAAAAAAAAAAGTTGGGTTGTAAAAATTAACGAAATGGGTCAAAATACATGTAAATCAAATAAAAACACAGAAAATACGATGCATGTGTTACATTAAAGATTTAAATCTAAGTTTAAATTTGTCTATAAAAATTATCAAGATAAGTTTAAACTTTAGATTTAATCTTCTAATGTAACACATATACTTATTTCATGAATGTATTCAATTAATCAATTCAATTGCTCTTCTCAATTAAGTGCATTATTTTAAGTAATGTTACAATTCAGTTCATTGATATATGCATGTACAAACAAATAAACACTATTAACATGATTAAATAGAAACATATTGCCGATTCTGGGAAAGTTATACATGAGTACTGTAACTGATCCCCCCCCCCCCCCCCCCCCTTGGTGTTAATCTGTATATAATCTTGATGGACAGCCGAGCGCAACAGGTCACGTAGTGGAAAATTTTCTCTTTATATATATATAGCATTTCTCTTTATATATATCGAGGTTTTGTTTATATATATCGCATTTCCTTTAGATATATATATCCAGGTTTCCTTTATATATATATCACATTTCCTTTATATATATCCAAGTTTTGTTTATATATATCGCATTTCCTTTACATATATACATGTTTTGTTTATATATATTGCATTTCCTTTATATATCGAAGTTTGCTTTATATATATCGGTTTTTCTTTATATATAGAGGTTGTCACTAATGGGCTTCCGTACTTGTGCACCTATGAAGAAAGAAAAAAAAGACAATCTCAGCTGTAAGAAATCTGGCTTCATTATAATGATGATAAATGAGGTCTTGGTAATCATTAGTAAACCACAAATCAGTTTGATTCCTGACATTTGATCAATATTAGTTTGTAAATAAACCACATGTAAAATTCCAAGGAAGAGTAGGCCAGGAGATAAAGTTACCTTTACAAAATTGAAATTTTCCCATTTAACTTTGACATATACTGAAAGGAAAAAGAAACGCAGGGTAGCATAATTTTCGATAAAAATTTGACCACATGACCGAAAATTACGAAAATTGGTCAGAAGGGAAATTTAGTTACTGTGCATCAAAATCAGTATTCAGAATTACTCAACCATAAAATTTATGACGTCACGTAGGGAAAACGCTAACAAGCCCAAAACACGTGTAATTTGATAACGACGAGTTTGTCAACAAATCTTATTAGGGTCTGTAAGTCTCGTTTGCTTTCACTTTCGTTTCACGACTTCCGGGTACATCAGCGTTCGTAGTAACAATATGGTGTATTGTTTTGCAATCGGTTGCACGCATCGCACAGGGGGAAAACAGATGTGCAGTTTATTCCGATTCCCAACAGACACAAAAGAACGGAAAAAATGGATTGACAGATGCAGGTGAGTTAATATATAGAAAAAGAATACCTCAATAATATCGCTGTGTTAATTTAGAGGTCATTTGAAGATGCTTGTTACAAACTAAAGTTGCAAGTGTATTTCTATGCTTTTAAGGACGCAGATGTTTGAAAACACCATTTATATCGCAGCAGCTTTGTGTACTTTTATTTGACAATATTATATTGTGATTAAATTTACAATGAAATCGCTTGTTCAGTTCCTTACCCCCCTCCCCCTCCCCACCCTTCCATAAGTAAAGATTAAATCATCCTTTTTACAAAACAATATAACAATGTTCTGCAGTGAAGTTTTTCACCATATTAACTCATTTTAAATACTATTATTGATTAGTAATTTATCATATTTAAACATATGACACCAGAATTTATTCTAAACATCTTTTTAAAAAGATTTTTTAAACATAATATCCTTTTCCAGACGGGCAGACAGGGAGTACAACTCAAATGACAGGCTCTGCAGCTGCCACTTCACAGATGGAAAGAGGGAATTTGGGCCCACAATTTTTGCATATAGCAAGAATGTGGGGTATTTTCCTGAAATAAACACTCCAAAGAGGTAACTGGCAAAAAAAGTCCTACAAAATTATACTGAAAAAAGTGCCTTGACTTCTTATACGTTTTTTAAGATTTTATATCTTTCAAGGAAAAAGTTGGATAGTGTAGCATCATCCTCCTCCCATCCAATACAAAATGACATGACTCTTGCTGTCAGGACGCACCATTCTGTTACAGATCACGATTATTGCAGCAGTACCGAACAAACAGACACAAAAGATCATTCTAAAGAAGGTATCCAAAATATTTGACAGACTTGCATTTTGAAAACTAGAAAATTATAAAATTTGAATCCTCATTAGCCCTGTGATGTTAAGTATCTATTTGCCTCTTTATACTTCTTATAAATACTCTTTACATAAAAGTGTGGTAAAACATTCTAATTCAGACACCACTGCTTTCAAAGAATCCTTCCACAGCATACATTTTCAAACTGATTAACAATTAAAATGATGAGGATTTCATTTTATTAACATTTAATGGACAATATTCTAGAACAGACAATATACTGATTACTAGATAGATTTCAATAATTTTACAGCATATACATTTTTATGATTAGACTCATTTAAAATATACTTGCTCTAATATTTACTAGCTTCAGTTTAGTTTATTTCACCCATACCAAAATATTTGTACATGAACATTCAGAAAAGATTTTAAAATGCATCCGATTCAAATTATCCCCTGAAAATATTTATTAATAAATAATAATGTGATTGAACAAAATGAATTACACATTACAGTGTCAGCCTTGGAAAAACAGATTGCCAATTTGCAAGAAGAAATCAGGGATCTAAAATTGCAGAAGCCAAAGATGTCAATAAAAGACATCATAAATGACACTGAAAAGGTAAGTTGCACAGAAGGAGCAAATGTATTTTCTATTCAATACAGTTTAAATAACACTGAAGTGTTTTTACAAACTTCATATAGTAATACATTCTTTTTTCTTTAAATACCATGCAAAATAGCTAAAAAAAAAAGTAAATTTCATATTCAAATGTATTATGTTACATATAACTACATTACGTCAATACGTTTACAGTGTACATCAAGTTGATGAACATATCAAAATACATGCAACTTTGTTTGTATGACTAATTTAATAGATAAAGTATTTGAAATAAAAAAATACAATATAAACTTTTCAGTGTTTGTTGCTTGTTCAGATTTAAACTGTTGTGGTGGCACTGACTTAGACAAGGGCAATTAGTGTTACAATAATTATACAGTAAAATAATGAACTGAAATGTTTTGACGTCTATATTTACAAATCTTTCCCTTTATATAACACTATGACTACTGAAAGCAATGCATATTTATAACCGTATAAATACAGGTTCCTCGAATGTCATAAACCTTTGACAAATTTTTTTAGTGACGTCATAAAGGGTCAAAGCGCATTCAATGGATTACATATGTGCCGTTGATTTTAAAATAAAATATTTCACACATTAGAAGTTATAATCAGGCAAATATAAAATATGAATAAGTCACAAATGTAAAAACAAGTTATATTGCATCATTTTAAAACATTTATCAAGCTACGAATAAGGGTTAGCATGATCAAAGTCACCATAAATTTGGTTTTATCATGTTTATGGAATTGATCTTGTGACTGATAGATGTTTAAAAAAGATACCTTATTTCTTAAATAATATGTGTCTTAAATATTTAAAAATAAGATTTTAAACAATAAAATGTACACAGGTGATAAGAATATCAACAAAGCATGTTCCCTATTCAATATTGACAATGTCCCATAAACTATACAAGCTTAATTCGGTTGTAGATGTTGCTCTACACCTCCTTCCCAGCTGATGTATTTCAAGTTGTGGTAAATATGCTGTACAGAATGGCACCATTTAACTACTACGCTGGATGGACTGTGAACTGTTTCTCTATTGAGGATCAATTACTGATTACATTGATGAAGCTGCGTCTAAATTGCCGTGATCTGGATTTATCAGTTAGATTTGTAACAAGCAGGGCCACTATTTCGAACATTTTTAACACTTACGTTTCAGTTTTGCACGAAATTTTCGTTGATGGAATTCTGAATGAAGTAGGTATTCCTAGTCAGCTTAAGTGTAAAGGGTCAATGCCTAAGTCATTTGAAGAGTTTGCATCTGCTCGTATAGCTATGGATGCTACAGAAATTTTGCAAGATGTTCCTTCAGACATGAATTCACAGTCCCTCTCTTACAGTAATTATAAGAGCAGACACACTGTCAAGGCAGTCACATGCGTTTCACCAAATGGTGCACTAGTATACTCTTCGGACTTGTATCCTGGGTCTACTTCGGATGCAGCCATTGTAGATCACTGTGGAGTGTTGAATCAGCTTCAACCAGGAGACCTCATATTAGCAGATAAGGGTTTTAACATTTTTGACAAGCTTCCTTCTGGTGTTTCCTTAAACATTCCACCATTCCTGTCACAGAAGGCACACTTCACAAAGGAGGAGGCTGCACTGTGCTACAAAATAGGGAAAGCCAGGATTCATGTTGAGAGAGCAAATGAACGCATCAAAAACTATGATATTCTAAATCACATTCCTGCTCAATATCGACACATTTCGACCAAAATTTTTCAGCTATGTTGTTGTTTCATAAACCTTCAAGCACCTCTTCTTAAGGAAATTGCTGACAAATATGAAATTTAGATATGCTATTAAAAGATACCAGAAATGAATTTCACAGTCAGTATTATTTCATAATTCAAAAAGAAAATTAATAGGAAAGAGAACTGAATTTACTTCAGTTTGTAAAAATTTTCATACAGGATTTACAGTATAATTGTGAAAACAAATAACATCATTTATCATTCAGTTGTCCTTTAAAGCCACTTTGTTTTTTTTTTTGCATTCTTCCTAAAAACCTGTTGAAAAAATTTTAATGCAAAGATTTAAAAGAGAACTTCCTCCAAAACTTTCATGTCAGATTATAGGGTATTGATGTATTTCATATCAAAACATTTAGAAAATGGAATTTCACAAATAAAGTTCAACTTTTTGGATTTTGTCTATCCCATGATCTTAGAATATTACCAATGTTACTAACCTGATTCACTTTAGTGATTCCAAAAACACCATAAAATAAAAATCAAGCAGGGCATATATGTTGGGGGCCCATGTCCTGTCCTTAAAAATTCTAACAATCTGCAGGTCTTTAGTGGTCCACACAGCCAGATCACAACACTCTGTCCCAGTAAGGTAGAGCTGGCCCTGGATTTGATGCCAGTAATCATGTGTGGTCTTTAATGATAAGCTTCCACCATTATCAACTGAAAAAATTAAGTAAAAGTTATTCTGTTGTAGATTCTCCTTAAAATGTAATAAATCCTCTTTTGATAGTGTTTGAGCTACTAAATGAGTTCTACCATAGTGACTAGACTTTTATTGCTACTTCCATAATTTTATAACACACGATATTAAAAGGAGCAATAGGAAGGCATCTAATAATTAAGAAATAAGGTATCATTTTTTGAGTTTTATTGGGATGTAAAACGGGTTGGTCACGTGATCAAATCCCATAAAGCCCGGAAGATTTGATCATGCGCCAACCCATTTTACATCCCAATAAAACTAAAAAAATGATACCTTATTGCTTATATTTACATTTGTGACTTATTCATACTTTAAATTTGCCTGATTGTGACTTTTAACGTGTGAAATGCATTATTTTTCAAATCCAACGGCATGTTTGTAATCCACTGAACGCGCGTCGACCCTTTATGACGTCACTGAGAAATTACGTCGAACATTTATCCATACGAATATCTATGACCTCTTGACCCCGTACCTGTATTTATACAGTTATAAAAACGCTTGCTTTCAGTAGTATTATATAAAGGAAAACATTTGCAAATGTAAATATTATTTGTTAAGATATGTATCTGCTCTGCAATACCTAGGAAAAAATCCTTAATATCTGAGCATGCCTCCATAATGGTCTTGTCCTTGGCTGTAAAGGGACATTTCACCTCTACGATAGCAGGCACTTTTGATGGCTGGTCCTTCTGCTGAAGGTGGACAATGTTAGTTTTAGGAAAATCTCCCTGAACGAAGCCATCAGGTGATGCCCCTAAGACTCCTGATTCATGCAGCCATATACCTGAAATACAAAAGTACAAGCATGTACATAAATGTATACCTTCATTAAGTGATGATGTAAACATCTGTCGATTTAAGCTGCTTACATGACTTAGGAATTAATTTACATTAAAGCTCAACAGAGTTGATTGTGTACAGTAAAATAATTCTGATTTCATGTCTAATCTACTCTTATAATATAAAAGACAAGCACTAACATTATGATATAAAGGTATATATGTAGCTGGTAAAATACATTGTACATATAAATGCATGCATCTAAATGAAATAAGGAAGGTTGTGTACTAAAGATTTGTTTATGCACTTTATGCATTTGTTATTTCTTAACTTTCATACACTCTTGATGTTAATGCACCCACAATTTAACTACTTGCCTGTTGGCAAAACTGTGACTGAACCTGCTTTGCAGTATTCTTCCAAACCAACTTTCTCGTGAGTGATACCCCACTGAATAGGAGCCCTTCTTTCCAAGTTGTAAGCACTTAAAATTCTCTTTTTAAGTGACTCCGACAATCTATAAAAGAATATTACAAATCGGGTATTTCAAAATTAATTCATATGTTCTTAGTGAGAAAAAAAATCATCAATATTGTATAAACCTTACTGGCATCAGATATTTATTTATGTAGTTGCTAAAACTTGCAACTAGGAATTTGAATTTTAAGTAAAATAGAATTTAAGATATATTGTAGTAACCATCTGAAAATATTTGTATAAACATAGAATTTAAAGATACCTGTTTCGTCTTGCTGCTCCAATAATTAGGCCAAAATTTGAAGCTGTAAATCTATATTTTCTAATAGCAGCCCACAGAGAGTTTTCACGCTGGCCAGCTGTCATAAATGCCGCCTCCATAATCTTTTCTGGAGAGATAATAAGGTGTTTTCGAAGCCATGTTTTAGGATCATCAGCACTGATGTACGCCTCGCTCATAAGCAAATCTTCAATCAATGGTACTGGACTGCCAGGGGTCTTGGGCTCCTCTGAGAGAATCCAGTGTAAAGCTACAACATATTTTGCTAAATTAGTATAGCATAGTACCAGAATATATATATACTTTGTGTTTTCAAGATTTTTGTAATCTCTTATTTGATATACACTAACTTGTAAAGGTAATGTTAGGTAAAAGACTATAAAACCTAGTTATATCCTTAATAAATAGTACATCCACATCAACAGGATTCAGTATAACAATGAAGACAAAAAAATCAAGCACACTTTCAACATCAACATGTAAACAAGGCTGAACTGAAAAATGAACTCCTCAAAACTGAAAAATAAACTCCAAAGAACAGCAACCTGTGAAGCGCCCCAACTGTCCCAGCTGATGATACAAAAATGATCTGTCATTGTCCGTTACTTTTCTTGTCAGTGCTCTACATAATTTGAGTATTTCAAAAAACATTTTCCTATTAGATTAATGTACTATGTGATATTTCAGAGTTTGCAAAACTTGTCAGTTTTGTCTCGTTTACCAACAAAAAATTGTAGATGTCATGCATAACTTCAGTATAAGATGGTCATGTTTCTTGATCTGAATTTACTCCATATCCCTCTTTATGGGAATTTTGTACCTGTAGATCATGTAGATAAGGGGAGGGGGATATTTTATTTTAAAAATATAGTCATTTAATATTGGGGGGGGGGGGGTCGTTTTTGTTTTTTTTTTTTTTAACTTTTTTGATTTTAATTAAAACCTTTTTTGTTTTTATGAGTTTTGATTTACATATGATCTAACAACTTATAGTGCCAATTGAACTTGAATTTTCAAAAAAATAAATAAAGGAAAATTTAAGACTGACAAACCCTTACATTTAAGCATGTTTCATAATATTTTTTGCCTAACTTCTATATAATATTTAACATCCACTGATTTAATTGCTGTGCACTACATACATCGTCAAATGGAGTCCAACTAATATAATGCTAACCTGTGAAAGTTGCAGGTCAAAAATGACTGACAGAATTTTTCAAGTTTCACATACCCTGATGTTTATATTAAAGAATTCTTAAGGACATTGCTTATTAACACATACTTGTAATCCTGCTGCTTTGGGGGATACAGCTCAGCTATCGTAACAGTGGATTTTGGTGGTGCCGACTTTGGATGTTTCAGCCAAGAACATTTTATGTCTGTTTTACTTGCTCTTTTATAGCTGTAATTGAAATATAAAATGTCTTCAAAAGCTACTTCTTATTTTGCACACGCTTACTTGAATTTTAAAAATCAAAAAGTTTAGTTCATATGTACATTGTACTGTTTGTACATTTTTTTTTTCATTGAACCCTGATTCCCAGCGAGGCTAAGCAACTCCATCTTTCCAGAAAAAAAGCTGTTTCCATAAAATCAGACATTCAGCTTTTTTATCAATTACACTGACACTTCTACTATCAAACCTTGTCCAGTTTATAATTATATTTACCATATGGCTCAATGGCAGAAAATAGAATTTTTGGAGTGGAAAAGTCGAATTCAACTATGAAATGGTATGTGCTAATCCTGGACAGAGAGCGAAATAAAAAAAAAATGTTGGTCTGAAAATTCAATTCAAGTGTCTAAATAATATAGTTAATGAATAAAATTTGTTTACCTCTCATATTTCATAACATTACTTCGACATATTAAATGATTACTCCGATGTAATTTTAGAAACAGATTTTTAGCCAATCAAAACCTCTGCCCATTATCAGTATACATCATTTCATGGTTGAATTCGACTTTTCCACTCGGCGAGCAGATCTTTGACATTGTTTATGGAGATAAAAGGTGTGTCTCTGAGGGAGGGGTTACTCCGTGTAAATAAGAGTTGGATACCTTGTGTTATTATAATACTATAAGATAAAAAAATTATTATAGAAACAAGTGCCTGTGGTTTTATCTCCTAAAATCATCTGGGTACAAATTACAATGATAAATCAATGAAATATGGACAAAATATTTAAGCTTTCACATTTCAAATCCCTCAGTGCAAAAGACCTCAGATGATTTTCTTAAAAATTATTCTTCATACCCAAAGAGCAATGCCGCAGCAACATGGTGGCATTTGTATTGTCCCATTGGGCACTGACATGTTGCATCCTTCACAATTCCGTCTTCAGCATCCAAAAATATCTATGGAGTATGGATACAATTTTTAATAAAGTGTTATTAATATAACACCTTAGAATGTATAGGCCTAGACCTGTAAAATATATTCAACCTTTGTTATATATTAATTTGGTTGTATATTGAAAAACCGCAGACTTCATAAGCATTTTTCATTATTAATGTTGCCCCCCCCCCCCCCCCCCTTTTCATAACGAACGAAAAACAGCTCCAGTATACATTTCAAAACCCAAGATACTAAACCCTTCTTTATCCTGCTAAGTTTCAATTACAAACCAATTAATTTCATCTTGTAAATGTTTTTTTCAGTTAATAAAAAATATCTCTTATTGAAAGGCAAGCTCTAAAACGAATGCTGAAGTACCTACCTGTACTTTGTACGATGTATCTCTCATTGAGGCTTGAACGCAGGCATTAATAACTCTCAGCTCGTCAACTACAAACCGTAGGACCCTCCCACTTTCCACCGCTGCCTCACTCTTCCTAGTTAACTTAGTGTGCCCCTCAACATACTTGACCCAATACAAAATCGAAAGAGCCATAATAGCGAATGTACCCGGAAGTCAACTTTCACGCAAAATCTCGCCTGTCACGTGACGAGACTTACAGACCCTAATTGGCACAGTTTACGGAAGTTCAATGGGGTCTTCATTTCAAATTGCCTACTTAAGGAAAAAGGCAACAACGGTTTACTAAGCAGTCTCTTGTAAATTTTCCCCCATAAAACTTTTTACCCGTTGTCAGAGAGGGTCTGGAATGGTTTTCAATCAACCGTGACGATGACGATAACGCGAAACAGAGCCATGTTACGAGCGGGTTATTCGTCCTGCCATCTCTTAAATCGCCACCTTACTACCACAAAAACAGCCATTTATAGAGTAGACGATTATAATCATTACATTCATACGAAATTTGAAAGAAAACAGTCCCGCAATTTGGTTTTTTGAGCCAGTCAACTTACGGTTGTATTCCTCTCACTGGCGCATGCGCGCACCGTTTAACTTATTTTTTGCGTGGTTACCCATGCTAAATATAGCCAGAATTTGAAAGATAAACACTCTGATGAAATTCCATGCAAAGGAGAAACAAGACTCTGACAAAAATGCACGAGAAAGACATTGAAGATAATGAGAGTTTTCGATTTTCACTTTTGGGGGGTATCGTCATTTGAGCTTCAATAACTCATGAATAATTAGTCAAAATCATATGCGAACTTGGTTTTATCTTTTTGAAAGATGATTTTCAAAGGTAGATAAGAAAACTAAAAAGTATTTTAAGAAAAACAAATTTAATTCACCTCAAAAGTTTACCCTGCGTTTCTTTTTCCTTTCAGTATACATGGAGTTAACTTATAATGTTTTTACAATGTCTTGTTCCAAATCAAGCTGATGAAAATCAGATCCTCGATGCTCCTTTTTAGCTCACCTGAGCCGAAGGCTCAAGTGAGCTTTTCTGATCACATTTTGTCCGGTGTCTGTCCGTCCGTCTGTCTGTCCGCCTGTCTGTCCGTAAACTTTTCACATTTTCGACTTCTTCTCAAGAACCGCTGGGCCAATTTCGACCAAACTTTCCACAAAGCATCCTTGGGTGAAGGGGATTCAAGTTTGTTCAAAAAAGGGCCATGCCCTTATTCAAGGGGAGATAATTGAGAATTAGTGAAAATTTGGTGGTATGTTTTAAAAATCTTCTTCTTAAGAACCACTGTGCCAGGAAAGTTGAAACTTATGGGGAAACATCCTCAGGTAGTGTAGATTCAAGTTTATTCAAATCATGACCCCCGGGGGTAGGGCGGGGCCACAATTGCCGACCAAAGTTTTACATAGAAATATATAGGAAAATTCTTAAAAAATCTTCTTCTCAAGAACAGCAAAGCCATAATTGCTCATATTTATATGGAAGCATCCCCAGGTAGTGTAAATTCAAATTTGTTAAAATCATGACCCCCGGGGGTAGGGCGGGGCCACAATGGCCGACCAAAGTTTTATATAGAAATATATAGGAAAATTCTTTAAAAATCTTCTTCTTAAGAACAGCAAAGCCAGAATTGCTCATATTTATATGGAAGCATCCCCAGGTAGTGTAGATTCAAGTTTGTTCAAATCATGACCCCCGGGGGTAGGGCGGGGCCACAATGGCCGACCAAAGTTTTACATAGAAATATATAGGAAAATTCTTAAAAAATCTTCTTCTCAAGAACAGCAAAGCCATAATTGCTCATATTTATATGGAAGCATCCCCAGGTAGTGAAAATTCAAATTTGTTAAAATCATGACCCCCGGGGGTAGGGCGGGGCCACAATGGCCGACCAAAGTTTTATATAGAAATATATAGGAAAATTCTTTAAAAATCTTCTTCTTAAGAACAGCAAAGCCAGAATTGCTCATATTTATATGGAAGCATCCCCAGGTAGTGTAGATTCAAGTTTGTTCAAATCATGACCCCCGGGGGTAGGGCGGGGCCACAATGGCCGACCAAAGTTTTACATAGAAACATATAGGAAAATTCTTTAAAAATCTTCTTCTCAAGAACAGCAAAGCCATAATTGCTCATATTTATATGGAAGCATCCCCAGGTAGTGTAAATTCAAATTTGTTAAAATCATGACCCCCGGGGGTAGGGCGGGGCCACAATGGCCGACCAAATTTTTATATAGAAATATATAGGAAAATTCTTTAATAATCTTCTTCTCAAGAATAGCAAAGCCATAATTGCTCATATTTATATGGAAGCATCCCCAGGTAGTGTAGATTCAAATTTGTTCAAATCATGACCCCCGGGGGTAGGGCGGGGCCACAATGGCCGACCAAAGTTTTATATAGAAATATATAGGAAAATTCTTTAAAAATCTTCTTCTCAAGAATAGCAAAGCCATAATTGCTCATATTTATATGGAAGCATCCTCAGGACGTAGTGTAGATTCAAGTTTGTTCAAATCATGACCCCGGGGGTAGGGCGGGGCCAAACTTTTCAATAGTAAACCAATTACTACTTTTTCCTAGCCACAATGCTCGGGTGAGCGATGTGGCCCATGGGCCTCTTGTTTTAACAATATGTCACTTATGAGGCTTGTAAGATCGAGGTTAATCAGATTGGTTAGATCCAAATTATTTTTACAAAAATGACTGAGTTTTGCAGAGGTGCATGTTTGGTAGGGAAGGCTTTTTGTTTTTCCATCTTAATTGATATACAGGTTAACTAGTGTACATGTATTATATCTTCATCCGTCTTCCTTTTATCAAAAGTGTCACTTCAAAATGATAGCCAGCCTAATTGTCTCTCTAGAATAAAGTATCACTTCTAAATGGAAGCCCTAATTGTCTCGTCAGAATAAATGAGAAACTAGTTAGTAAATGTAACTTGAAAAGTATGTGATCCAATTAGATAAACATAATTTCTATTACAATTATTCTTGAGTCTTGCTAGATAGTCATAATATGCATTGTAATATTGGTAATTAATTTGATGTTGATGGATGAGTGCATGGTGCTGAATGCATGCATTATGCACTTTCTGTACCCAATCTAAAGGTGAAAGTTTGTGCTGTACTTGTATTATATAAAGAAATGTCAAATCTAATATAAAAAGACACATTATCTCCTAGTGTTTCCAAGGTTATTTTGTTAATGTCAAACTCAATGAAAGCTAGAAAAAAAAACCCAATACATTATCAATCTGACATCTAAGAATAGTACTTGTATTATAAATTATTTGATACAGATTTTAAAAAATGTGGGAAGTCACTTCCTCTGTACTGGTCACCTGATTTAAATTCATACTTGATTTTATTCACAAAAAGTGAATGAGATAGGGCAGCAGGCAAAGCTTATTTTAGCCCTCTCCCTACTGTCAGCTGATACAAATGTACCTCTTTTTTATGATGGGGGAAAGGGGGGGTATTAGAAAACAATCCTTGTTAATGCTAAAAAGCATGCCAACATTTTTGTACATAACATAATGTTAATGGTGCATATGTTAGAAGTTTATTGAAGTCTTGTAACACTTCATTTTATCAAGCACTCAACATATGCTATACATTTCATCCTTCATTGGTTAAGTCAGTTTGCAGCTTGCGATCTCTTCATCTGCATAACTTGAAGATCTATCTGTATGGTAAAGAATAGGAGCACATCATGTATCTTGAAGTCTTGTGCTCTTTTGTACATTCCAGGGGAAAAGAAAACAACTTGCTTTTTTTTCAAATAGATATTTTGGATAATTGTTTATTTTGTAAAAATTTGTTGCTTTGAAATTCTTTTCAGCCTGTTAAAACTGTCAGATACAGGTTCTCTCAATGTTTCTATATAGAGGATTTACAGTAAACTGACAGCAGGTCCTGATATGGTAAACCAATTTATTATTAAAGCAATACTGGCATATAAACTGCAGTAGCCAATAGAATTATAAACTAGAGCTGGTACTGTGAGTATTGAGCTCACAAAATGATACCCCCCCCCCCATTCCATATGGTTATAATGGCAAAGTCCATGTTTTGCTCTGGGAGACCCAAAGTGAGTGTCAGATCAAAAAGTAAAAAGGCGGTCAAAATGACACCATGTAACAAATATTCTTTGAAAATCTCATTAAATTTTATTCAATGGTAAAGGAGTTGTGCATAAGAGATGGGTACCCCTCAATATTGTAGAAAGAATGGCCATGTCCATGTTTTGCTCTGGGAAACCAAAAAATATGTGTTGGATCAAAAAGTAAAATTGGAGGTCATGTACACAATGACATTATGTAACAAAGATTCTGTGAAGTCTCATTATATTTGATTCAGTGGTATAAGAGGAATTGTGGATAAGAGATGGGTATCCCAAAGCGTAACAGTCAGACGGACAGACATCCTGATCAATATATACCCTCCCGCTTTTCAAGCAGGGATATTAAAAGCTGTGAATTACTATGATTTATTTTTTTGCAGTCTGCTCTTCGACCGACAGATGTCGTTCTGGAGGTAGGGCCAGGAACAGGAAACATGACGATGAAGTTACTGGAGAAAACCAAAAAGGTACGGACAAGTGTAATCAGTCTGTCCCATTGTAACAAGGGCATCAAAAAGGTATAGACGTGTTCATTAATCAGTCCCAAGGTACCATCTTCCTTTTTTGTATAATCACTGAATGTACATATTAAATACTAGGTACCTGGGATTTCAAATTTGGTTCCATCAACAGATTACTGTAAACCAACTGTTATTTGCATTATCTGGCTTGATCTCATAAAAAAGGTTAATAAGCAATAAGCCCTAGTGTCAATTCCTTTACAAGCAACACTTGTCCCTTAAAACATTCTACACTTTATACTGGTCTTGTTTAAAAAAGTTTTCCTGTTTTGATCAGGTAATAGCCTGTGAAATTGACCCTCGACTGGCCGCGGAATTACAAAAAAGAGTGCAGGGAACGTAAGTTTTCATGTAGTAACAGCAACATTCAAGCTCTTTCTTTGTTTTCATACTGTTTGATAAATTGCACACAGTTTTTGAATGATATATTACACAAGAATGTGAAAAGTTTTGACATTTATGAAACAAAATGGATTTTGTTTGTTATCAGGGTTCCAAAAAATAATAAACATATGCTATTATAATGCAAAATCATATACATGTAGATGTAAAAAGTATTTTTTCTATGAGTACATTAGGAACATAAGACTGGAATTTAGCAAATTACACATTTTTGTTTGAACCCCCACCCCAAATGATAGTTTTTTCTAGTATGATTTTTTTCCTATTGTTCAGGCCATACCAGACCAAACTCCATCTAATAGTGGGTGATGTCCTCCGGACTGATCTACCTTTCTTCGACATCTGTGTAGCTAATCTGCCATACCAGGTAATGACAAAAAATTTCTGGCAAAAATTTTCCCCAAAGAAATCTATTCAAAAATATTGAGGAACTGAATTAAAATCATCAAATTTTGTCAGAATTATTTTGTAATTTATACAATTTATAGGAATGAAATCTTGATTGTTGAGGCTTATTTTACTTTTTATATTTCCAGATATCCTCTCCCTTTGTTTTCAAGTTGTTACTACACAGACCATTTTTTAGGTATAAAGTGAAGCCTTTTCCTTCAAAGTACATGTAGTGTATACAGGGTTAATTTTCACCCCGTGTTATTTTCGCCCTTTCCACTTGCAAACAGTTTTGCCCTGTTTTAAATTCACCCAAAGTCAATTCTGTTTAAGATGTTATACTGCTTTATTTGAATTTGCCCCGTTTTAAGTTTGCCCACCTGTGAGTATGTTGAAATGAGCAAAAATAAAACGGGGGCAAAAATTTCCCTGTTTACAGTATATATACACATGTACATGTATACAGTGGAAACAGCTGACATTCATAACACTTAAAAAGTGCAAAACATAGAGTGGGTATTCTTAACTTTGTGGTTTTTTTTTGGCAGGTGTGCCGTGTTAATGTTTCAGAGGGAGTTTGCCCAGAGATTGGTAGCACGGCCCGGTGATAAGTTATATTGTAGGCTCTCAGTTAATACACAGCTACTGGCTCGGGTCGATCACTTAATGAAGGTTGGTTGAAAATTTTGGGTAGAAAGTTTTATACTGTAAAATACTTGTAAATGTTATTTATTACAACATAGAAATTTCATTTGAATTAATTTAAATATACAGTTGAACTATGTTATCTCAAACACTGATATCTTAGAAACCAGGGATTTGTCAAAGTGATTTGGCAGTTTGAAATACTTTTTTAATAAGATTTTAAAATGAATTCAACTTTGAAAGTTTTTAAAAATCATGCCTTTTAGCTGAAAAGTGAAATAAAAACTTATGATTGTGTGATTAATTAAATGTGTATAATATTAAACAGGTTGGCAAAAACAACTTTAGACCACCTCCAAAAGTAGAATCTAGTGTTGTCAGAATAGAGCCAAGGAATCCACCTCCTCCTATCAATTTTCAGGTGTATATGTAATGCATTAAATTATACCCCCCGCAAACGAAGTTTGGGGGGGTATATAGGAATCACCTTGTCCGTCTGTCTGTCTGTGCAAACGTGTCCGGTCCATATCTTTCTTACAGAGGGACATTAGAATCTACTACTCCACAGAAAGATTGCCCATGACCTAAGGGTGTGTCATGACCTTGACCCAAGGTCATTTGGGGAAGTTCAAGATCACTGGAAGAAAAATTTCATAATTCGTGTCTGGTCCATATCTTTCTTATGGATAAACTTGGTAGAACACAAAGATTGCATAGCCCAAGGGTGTGTCATGACCTTGACCCAAGGTCATTTGGGGAAGTTCAAGGTCACTGAAAGAAAAATTTCATAATTCGTGTCCTGTCCATATCTTTCTTATGGATAAACTTGGTAGGTTCTCATTTCACACAAAGATTGCCCATAGCCCAAGGGTGTGTCATGACCTTGACCCAAGGTCATTTGGGGAAGTTCAAGGTCACTGAAAGAAAAATTTCATAATTTGTGTCCTGTCCACATCTTTCTTATGGATAAACTTGGTAGGTTCTTATTTCACACAAAGATTGCCCATATCCCAAGGGTGTGTCATGACCTTGACCCAAGGTCATTTGGGGAAGTTCAAGGTCACTGGAAGAAAAATTTCATAATTCGTGTCCGGTCCATATCTTTCTTATGGATAAACTTGGTAGGTTCTCATTTCACACAAAGATTGCCCATAACCCAAGGGTGTGTCATGACCTTGACCCAAGGTCATTTGGGGAAGTTCAAGGTCACTGGAAGAAAAATTTCATAATTCGTGTCCGGCCCATATCTTTCTTATGGAAAAACTTACTTCTGAAAAACCCAGCGGGGGGTATTTTGTCCCGTTTGGACAGTTCTAGTTTAATGAATTTTTAGGTCACCTGAGTCATTCAGGTGACCTATTGCAATAAGTTCACCAAACTTATGGACATTTTTAGTATCTTCTCTGGAACTACTAAACCTATTTCAACAAATTTTGGCATGTAAAAGCATCTTTGGGCAAAGAAAGAGAGGGGGGGGCAAACAGTGTGAATTTCATGTTTCCTGCCCCATGGAGTCTGATGGTTGAAATCAAAACTATTAAAATTTTTTTCAAAAATCTTCTCTTATCCTGTACATCAAGCAGTCAGGCTTCTGAAGATATTGAGAAGTCAATATATTTCTGTCTAGATTGACCTTGACCTTTGACTTTGTGAAATGTGACCTCAAAATCTGTATTGGTCATCTAATCTTCAGTGGGAACCAAGTACCAAGTTTGATGTCAGTCAGGCTCTATCAATGGGTTCTAAAGATATGGAGTATACAAGATCTTTAATTTGTTTAGAATAGTTTGACCTTTGACTTAGTGACACCCAAATCAATGAGAGTAATATACTTTTCATGAATAGGGTTCAGTGTACCAACTGATATACTGACAGCTACAAAGCAATATGCTGTCTTTGTCAAGGGCATTAAAAAATACTGTACATTTCAAAGATTTTATTTGCAGAAATCAATTGATATTAAATATTATTAAGATTTTAAAACCATTTTACATACAGGAATAAGAAATGTATACAGAATTCTTTAAGATTCTGATATTTTTTTTTAAATTTTAATTTCTCTGTTTTATGCCCCAGTTCTTTTTATTTTACCATGAATGAATATACTTGTAGTAATATGACATTCATTAAATATAATATATCACAGTTTTCTTCGGTATCTTTGTAAAGCAATTTTTTCAGTAAGATTTGGTAAACTGTCCATACAACTGATCCTTGAAAGCTTTATTTTTTATTGCTTTTAACATGTTCATGTCTGATTTGCTAGGAATGGGATGGACTTGTAAGGATCTGTTTCTCTCGGAAAAACAAAACCATTGGAGCTTCTTTCAAGTAGGTACATTTTTACAACTTTGTATTTTGTAGTTAAGTATTTACAAAATACAATAGTAAATATATACTGCAGTGTGAAAGTAACATGGAATTATTGTATTTTACAGGTTTACCAAAGTACTGGAATTACTGGAGAAGAATTACAGGACCCACTGCTCTCTGAAGTCCATTGTAAGTAGCTGCAGTACTTGTAAACATTGATACTTTTGAAAAAGTTGAAATACTATTTTAACTTATAACTTCACAGGTAGAAGAATAGGTAGAGTAATAGTCATTCATTTACTTCGGAATGTAATTGACCCCATTCCAATTAAAAAAATGATTTTAAATTAATTTTGTTTTGTGATTTCATACAGCCTGTAGCCCCTGATTTTGATGTAAAGGAAAAAGTTTCTAAAATATTAGAGAAAGGAGACTTTGACAAGAAACGAGCTCGGTCAATGGACATTGACGATTTTCTAGGGTGAGAGTGATTTATTTTCATAATGATTATTTCAGATCAATTATAGTGATTTTGAATTTTACCATTCACTCAATGTTTTTTTTTCATCATTTTTCAGATTGCTAAATAGTTTTAATGCAGAAGGATTTCATTTCTCTTGAGAAAATCTTCAAAAAAAAAAATGTGCATCACCAAGTCTTTCATTGTTGAATATTGCATGCCTCCAGTGTACTTTCATTTCTGCGTCAGAAAAAAATGGATATTCTTACACTTGTACATGTATGTTATCAGTGCCAAGAAGATTGTTAGACCAAACGACTAGGCATTAAATTATACTCTGTGATGTTAGACTGGACATAAAACTGAATTTGTTACCTATCATTCAGTATCAAATACACTGTATGTGGAGTATTAGGGAAAAAAATGAAATCATCATAAACATAAATCTATATGAAAATTGTTGTTTTTCAATAATTATCAATCATTCATATTAACATCTCCCATAATTTCTGTTAAAGGTTGAGAGAGAGAGAGAGAGAGAGAGGAGGAAAGAGAGAAACAAAGAGAGAGAAAATTGCAGTTAAGTCATAGCAAATTAACAGGTGTTTTTGTTGTTTCAAATAAAATAAAACACTATGAAAAGTATATTTGTCACTGATTTTATTTTTCATGAGAAAGCACTGTGTATTCTTTGATAAAATGTTCCTGAAACCGTGACTTGTTGACCAGAAGAATAAAACATGGAGTACCAGCTTCAACCAAAACCCTGTTAAGTAAAGGGAAATAAACATGTTAATTCATTTTTTGTAGAGTGGAAAACTTGCCTTTAATATTATATTATGAATAATATTCCATCTAACAAACAAAAACTGATAGATTTATATTTGTTTACTTGGGTTGAATAACCTAACATGTCCATAAACGACACAGAGATAGTGAATTTAAAATAAATCTTGACTAGAGAGAAGATAACTTGCCATTTATTTTTAAGAGCTTGCGATAAGGTCCAAGTTTGAGGTATTTGATGTAATGTGGTCTTCTCCTTGTCTTCATAGTATATCTGAAGGACATACAAACACATTTAAGATGGATCATTGTTGCATACATAGATGAAACCCATATCTTAAAAAGTGTTGCAAGGATTTTGTCAGCAGTGTTCATAAAAAGAGAACAAAAGTTCTTATCAAATTTGTAGCTGTAACCACAATAATATACTGCATGTAGTAATATCTTTTCGAAATACTGAAAAATAAGTTTTTTCCATCTCAAAAAAAGTTTTTCTTCCCTATTCTGAACATTAGGATACAACACTTTATAACCTCCAGAAAAAAATAATTTTTTGTTCATTCCAAAATGTTACCCCTATTTAAATTTCATATTTGTAAGTTTTTGAATGAAGAAAATTTCTTCCTAACTATCTACCAATTTTTTTAACCTGAGTTGAGAGAGGGCAAACAAACATTAATTTAAAGATTGGCTTACCAATAAATTTTCTGGTTTGTACTTCTTGTCAAGATCCCAAGAAGCAGGTGGTACCTCTGGACCAAACATATGTATGATGTGATCATAAAATCTGTAAGAAAAGCAAGTTTTCTTATGTCTAACATTGAATTATGTGTCAATTTCCATGCCATATTAGCAGACGTTATCATTCAACTAATGAATCAATAACAGTATCACTGTAAATCACTTTATTTGTGGGAACTTTATTTCTGTGTTACTCTGGTCAGAAAAGAATTACCCGGTAGTGAAAAATGTAAAAAGTTTACACAACAGACAAAAGGGACTATCAATGGCTGATCGACTCAGGTGACCATTTAATACAGGCATTCCATGTGGGGCCCACCATTACCATTAATGCTCTACAAAGTTTTCCACCATTAAAGTCCTATAAACTTACGTGTGGTTTTCACTGAAGTCCTCAATGTAATCTGTCTGTGTGTGTTCTGGATACATGAACAATACAGGCCAGTGAAGAGTGCTGTCAGCATCCACATAAACCATGGCTCCACTAGGATTGTGTAGCTCTACATTAGTGAAGAGAAGTGGGTCGTAGCCTTTGTCTGCCAGTCCAGCTAGCCTAATACCACGACTCTGTAATTAGATAATCATAAAGAACTGTAGAATCATTTAGGTGAACTTGTCAGTTGTGTGCATTAATACCCGATTTTCTATGTAAATTGAAAAAATTAAAATAATGTACATTGTATTTCAAAAAAAAATTATAGCTATTATTGCATGCTTTTTTGTGGTCCATTTATAAGGGTAGCTACAAGTAACATATCAAGTGACGAAGAATATGTAAACTGATAATTATTCATGTCGGGCATATTTGAACATCCAGTCTTTAGAACCTTATCTCACCATTATTGCATCTATAAGTTTCTTGTGCTCTGCAAGTTCTTTTCGTTCTTTTGCTTGTTCTTTCCTTTTTTCTTTTTCTTGTATATGCTGCAGAAGAGAAATATTTAGAGTATTCACAATAAAATAAAATACCTGTAATATATTTCATATTTTTCCAGTGAGATTTAATGTACCAGTAGTTTTAATGTGAATTTTGAGAAAAAAAAGTTTTACCTTAAATTTTTCTGCCTTTTGTTTTATGTCCAAAAGAACTGTATTTGTTTCTTCTATCTACATTCAGTTAAAGATTTCTTAATTTCTAATGAACAAACCTACATATGATACATTGAGGCTCATAAATATTTTTATATGATACTATAATCTATATCAACAACTTTCAATACTTTTATCTTGTTCTAAATAGCAAAATAAAAAAGGACCAAAATAAGTCTAAATGATGCACATTTATATTTTTCAATTTCTATTATTGCAGCCCGGAGGACCCGGCTGCTCTATACATATAAGTTTTAAGTGTTGGTGTATGGGGATTGAGGTGGGAGAAGTTATTCAGAATTAAAGGTTTTCTAAACATTAAAAAGATTGTTAATCAGAATGTTCTTTCCATTTATAAATTACGAGATACATAATATATTTACTTCCATAAAGTGAATTTGTAAAAATATGTATGTTTTTGATATCTAATATGTTAAGTTGCTTATCATTTACCATCGAAAAAATGACAGGTCCCTTTTTTCAGAACATTGAATTTTACTTATTGCATAAAAACATACTCTACACAGTTTGTGTTTTATATTTATTCTTAAAGTGAAATACATTTTTGAAAATAGGTGCATGTGTCTAGTTTCAATTTATATTTTATGCAGCCAACATTTACCTGAGGAATTGATAAAGTTTTAAAGGGTATTGTTTTTGTTCGATTACATCAATGTTTTCTTGCTTGCTATCTGTATAAGGATACAGCTAGTCCTAGATCACTCCATAAGCTAGCTTCTGCATATTTCTTCATCTCCATACAACACTGAGCACCTAGAAAATTCAATGAAGACTTCCTGTAAACTTTGATTATACTGGTAGTGGGCTACTATTTCTTTCCTAAACAATCATATACATGTACTGGTATTTAAAAGACATCCTTGATAGTATACAGATTCTGTACCTCTTACAATAGCTTTCATGTGGTCTGGTTTGAATTTTCTAGCAATGATTGCATCATGAAGGGCTGATCTGTAATTTTCTACAAAACAAAAAAACCCTCAAATTTCACTACATCAGACTAACCATACATACCTGGTAATAAGAAATTATAATTATCTCACAAGTCTTTGATGAGACACTGACTCTACTAGCTGGTGTGTAATCATAATAAAGAAAGAGGAAAAAGCACTGCAGCAGCAACATAAAATGAAGAAGCCATGAAAAAACTGATTAATAAACGTATTCTTAGTTCAGTTTACTCATATACCAGTTTATCATTAAATTCAGACAATCTGCCCAAAACTGTTGTATGAGCTGAATTTTAAAGAATTTGGACAAAACCTGTCAGAGAAGTACAGGTAGCATTATATAAGAATCCATTTCATTTTTAGCTCTAATGGTCAAAGAGCAAAAGATCTTATGTGATAGCAAGGTGTCTGTCTAGCTGTCCATCTCTGTACACTGAACAATATTAAGCTCACTTTGACAAAGTTGAGATGATCTAATGCTATACCCTCTGCATATGAGTCGGCATAGGCTTGAGCCCCGGCATCCCAGTTATAGTTGTAGGATTAAGACTTGCAAGGATGATCATCTTAGGATAATGCTATCAGACTTGCTTTGGATGCTGATCTGACCTACAGCTTCCAGAGGAGTGACCAGGTTAAGGAATTTTGGAGCAGGACCATTCCAAAGTAACTATAAGCCCTACCTGGACTAAACTTGCATGGATGATACATCTATATTATACCAAACCTGCTTTGGGTGCTAGATTTGACCTATATTTTCCATGTGAGTAAAGTTTAGCCACACTTTAACCAAATTAGCATGGATGTTAGTTCTAGGAATGGTCACTTTCAGACTTGATTCAGATGCTGAATCTGCAGACCTACATTTTCCTGATAACTGACAAGGGTAATGTTTCTGGAGAAGCTCTTTTATCATAAAGGTCTGTTAGGACTAAACTTGCCTTTGCTCTGTATATGACTTACTTTTGTAGAACTGGGCAGCTGCTCTGTTTGTATATAAGACAGCGTTCAGAGTCTTGTCAGGACACTTTATCTTGATGCCTTCTGTGTAGTTTTCCACGGCTATGTCGTATCTCTTCTTCTTGAATTCAACATTCCCATCCTCTTTGAAAGCCTCGGCATTACCTATTGTGTATTAATTTAAACCAAACATTACATAATGTAGTGGATCCCTTGTCAAACTTGATCATTATTCTCCTATATATATGTATATATGAATATGAGGCAATGTTTGTCCTTAAATGTGTCACTAGTTTGTTACAGTAGCATTTTTCTCTTTTCGTTCATAATAATTAAAAGTAGTAAATGTTTACAAACATA